ATAAATATTCAGCTTAAATCATGCACATTTCTGACTGCAGGGACGCCAGTTAGATTGGCTTGGCTTGGAAATTACTATGATTGTAGCACTCAGTGGATTCTGAGAATATCTGTAACATATTGATTAACGAGCATGAACCTTAGGTTTGTATTTGCTTTGGTGTGTGATTTATTCTGATTTACACCGATTCATGCATGTCTTAACTTCGAGTACAGCTATTTTTAAATAGTTTAAAACTGATTATAGAGTCACGTAGTCATTTTATTACATTTCCCCCAAAACAAAACACCAATCATTTACACAAAAATCAACATGATGGTCAATGTAAAAGTCAACACATCAGTAGCTTTCCACATTTGGGTGACTTATTACCTATGTGGTTACTTTTGTCAAAAATAAATGCTCTGTTTCTCAACACTGTAACTCAACAATCAGGTAACTCAACACTGGAAAATGTAATACAGTCAGGAGAGGTATAAATTTATCATGAATATTAATTATAATCCTAGGTTACGGATGCAACTTAGCTATGGAGCTCTTAATGGAGCTGCAGCTGAGCTATTGTCTGCGATCTTCCAACAAGATTACATCATTTAACAAACGTTCCACTTTATGCCACGCCAGTGGAAATGATAAGTGTCACAGAATGGGCAAAGACGCAGTTTTGATTCCCGCACAGTTCATATCCCTGATCTGAATTTTGCCAAGGAGGGAGCTAAAGTGTAGTGTCTAGCACCTCCAAGTGGCTCACTAACAATGATCTGCAGACGTGATCACATATATTTTCATGGCTTACTGAAAATCCAACCTTCGGAATTGGTTACCAGCAAATAAGTCATTTCTTCCAGTGCAGTTTACAGTTTTAGCACAGCCAACAAAACAACTTGCATTTATATATTGCCCTTCACATGTGGTAGCGTCAGCTGGTGTGACACTGGAAGCAAAGGAAAACAAGAAGGAAAAAAAAACAAGTGCATAGTAAATAAATTACATTAGCTCGGAGAGAAAACAATTAAAATACAGTTAAAATAATATAAATCAAATAGATGAGAAATAGAGTAAAAAGCCAGAACGAGAGAAAAGAGAAGACAGGGCAAGTAGGAGCAAAGTGTTTAACAAAAACTAACAAAGCACATTTTAAATAAAAAATAAATATGTTAAACAGGAAAGCAAAACATTAAAGGAATAAACTAAATGGGTTTGTATCATTTTCCTCCTTTCACATGACCATTCAAAACAATCAGTGTCAATTTCAAAATAATGAAAGTTTTGCCTTTGGCGGTGATAATAACATAAACTAAAAATGTCCAAGATAGAGTGTGATTTGATCTATATTGCTTTGATTACGTTTTTTAATTGGTTTCTCTCTAGTCTATTGTAATTTATTTACTCGGCAATTGTTTCCTTTCTGCTTTGTGTTTTCCTTTGCTTTTTGAATCAAAAGTAATGAGTTCAGAGGAATATTAGTTCCTCACAACAGTGTAAAGTCTCAGAAAGTGATGCCAACTGATAAGCAACAAAGCAGAGTAAATACACAAAGACTAACCGGTAACCAAACCATAAACTTCCAACCGAAAAACTGAAAGACACAGAACAGTAGTTAATTTTAAGTATCTCAAAGCTAAAACAATTAGCCAATACTCATCCTGCAGTCCCTCCGCCTCACCCCCCTCCCTTGCCTCCTTCAAGACTTGTCTCAAGACCCTGCTCTGACCGTGCCTTCGATCACACTCCTTCCCCCCCTGCCCTCCAACTCCCCGATCCCTACCCCCAGTTCGGGTCCGAAACACTGATTGTCCAGTGCCTTGGGATGTCCTCCCGACGTGAAAATCGCTACACTAATGTAATTTTGTTGTTGTTGTTTATACCACTGACAATTTATCTTATTAATCCAGTGCTTCGGATCAGAAGTTTTACCATTGTATGACGAACAGCTTACAAAATAACATGAGCACCACCTAGAGGTCAATTGCCAACATTTAATGGTTCAGGACAAAGGGAAACCTCTTTATTAATTCTTAGGTTCAAAGATGCTGCATAAAATTTCGATCAGTTGAAGGGGGTGATCGAAGGCACAGTTGAAGAGGAGTGTCTTGAGACGGGTTTGAAGGAGGCAAGGGAGGGGGCGAGGCGGAGGGACTGCAGGATGGAGTTCCAGAGGGTGAGGGCAGTGTGGCTGGAATCTCTCCCGCTAATGGTGGGGCGGGCGAAGGGGGGACGTGAAGCAGGCTGGAGCCCATTGTGCAGAGGGAGCGGGCAGGTTGGTAGGGGGTTAGGAGGTCACAGAAGTAGCAGGGAGCAAGGCCATGGAGGGCTTTGAAGGTGAGGACCAGGATTTTGAACTGTATCCTCTGTGTGATGGGAAGCCAGGGGAGTCGGGTGAGGATGGGGGTGATAGGTTCATGGATCCTGTTGCGGGAGAGGACACCGGCTGCAGAGTTCTGGATTATCTGCAGCCTATGGAGGGAGGAGTTGGGGAGGACGAAAAGCACAGAGTTTGCATAGTGAGGCTTGGATGTTATGAATGCATGTACAACAACAACAACAACAAGATTTCATTTATAGAGCGCCTTTCACGTCGGGAGGACGTCCCAAGGCGCTGGACAGTTGGGTCGGGACCCGAGCAAGGGGGAAATGGTCAGGGTGAGGGGTGGGAAGGGAGGGAGCGAGGAGGGTGTAGAGAGTCGAGAGGGGAGCTGAAGGCACGGTCAAAGAGAAAGGTCTTGAGACCGGCCTTGAAGGAGGAAAGGGAGGAAGCGACAAAGGCAGTGGGGGATGGAGTTCCAGAGCCTCGGGGCTGAGAGGCTGAAGGTCCGGCCACTGATGGTAGGGCGGTTGGGGCGGGGGATGTGTAGCAGACCGGAGCCAGAGGAACGGAGGGTACGGGCAGGTAAGTAAGGCGATAGTAGGTCAGAGAGGTAGGAGGGAGGAAGGCCGTGACTGGCCTTGTAGGTGAGGATGAGGATCTTGAATTCGATCCTCTGGGGGATGGGGAGCCAGTGGAGGCGAGCGAGGGTGGGAGTGATGTGGTCACGAAGCCTGTGCGGGACAGTACACGAGCTGCAGAGTTCTGAACGACCTGCAGCTTGTGGAGGGAGGTGCCGGGAAGGCCGGCGAGGAGAGAGTTCCTGTAGTCCAGCCTTGAGGTGATAAAGGCGTGGACCAGAGTTTCAGCAGCGTGAGGGGTGAGGTAGTGCCATAGTCTGGCGATATTCCGGAGGTGATGGAAGGCGGTGCCAGTTGGGGCGCAGATATGAGGAAGAAGGTATGAGGGTCTCGGTGGCCAGCGGTGTGAGACAGTTGTGGACTGGCTCAGTGAGGTGGAGTGTGCATCCTTGGATGGTGATGCTGTCAGTGACTGAGGTGTGGAGGCCCTGACGGGAGCCAATCAGGAGAGCCTCGGTCTTGTTGACATTCAACTGTAGAAAGTTAGCTCTCATCCAGGACTTGATGTCTGTCAGACCAGACATTCTGTGAGGACAGCAGTGGTCCTGGACTCAAGGTGGAGGCAGAGAGATAGAGTTGGGAGTCATCTGCATACATGTGAAAGTTGACCCCATGTCTGCAGATGATGTCACCAAGAGAGAGCATATAGATATTGAAGAGGAGGGGACCAAGGACAGAGCTCTGAGGAACGCCACACAAGATGAGAGTTTTGCTAGAGGAAAAAACGTTTGTGGAGACGAAGTGCACACGGTGTGAGAGGTAGGATCTGAACCATTCAAGGCCAGAACCATGACGCTTGAGGTGAGAGGCGGGGCAGTGGAGGAGGATAGAGTGGTCAACGGTATCGAGGGCAGCCGAGACGTCAAGGAGGACGAGGTGGCAGAGGGAGCCCTGATCTCAGAGGGACAAAATATAATTTGTCCCTTTGACCAAAGCTGTTTCTGTGCTGTGACCATCCGGATGGACTACAATGGTCATCTCCATTCCTATGCATTCTACCATTCCAAGGTGTCTGCTTGACTCAGTTGGTAGTTGGTGTTATTTTTATTTCTGTTATTCCTAATTGCAGTTTGACTCAGTTGACACTTCAAGGATCCCATTGTCTCTCATCAAGAGGAGAAAGGATGTCTCCCGGTGTCCTGGCCAACATTTCCCCATATAAAATTGGTCGCTCACTTCATGAAGTGGGACATTCACGTCTGTGGAGTATTTCCGGGTGCAAATGTGCTGCTCGCATTCAACAACAACAACAACTTGCATTTAACATAGCGCCCTTCACCCCGGATAGCATCTTGTTCAGGAGGACAACTCAAAAGCTCTTCATGGGTATAAAGTGTAGTGACTGAGTATTAGACAATCCATTGTGCTGTAGTTTCTTCAACTTCTGTGTGTTTGCTCCCTTCCCTCCCCCCAGAAAAAAACATCAGCAGAAAATGTTTTGGTAATAAAAAAAAAGGTCTATTTTTAAGACGCATCCTTGAAATCCCTGGATTCTTACATTGTAAGTGCCACGTTGGAAGGGAAATTGGTTCAATGAGCTAATTCTGTTGTAGTTTTAGTCTTTCAATTCCATTCAGACTGTAAAGAAATTGAAATGTCACGTTAGTCTTTCAGATGAAGCAGAGAGAAAATTCTGTTTGACTAAATGCCAAATCTTCACAGCTTCTCTCCCACTGGGCTGCCCAGTCTCACAGCCAAACTATCTCTGTGTGTGTGTCTGTCTGTCTCTCTCTCTCTCTGAAATCCCCAAGTAAAATGCACATAAGTACATTCACCCCACCCGGCAATCTGCTGGGCAGATGAGGCAGTTGTTTCCCCAGTTGGAGGTTATGATACAATTGTAATCAATGCACTTTTATCTGGTCACCAACTGAGAATTGCAATCAAGTAAGAAACACAGTGTGAAATGAACAGCAGAGCTTTTACTTTCTTGCAGTGAAAGCAAAGAAGCTGCACAGTATAATGAATCGCTGCGAATCAACGAGCTTGCATGCTCTTTCCCTGTTACACAGTACAGTAGAAACCTTTAACTTGACTCTGGACCTGCGTGGCAGGTGCACAAAAGTGAAAGTGAAATCAGGAGTCGTCAGGCAAGTTGAACAAAAGTTATACGTTCCCACGCTTTGTGCGTGAGAAAGTCTCTTTCTTTATTTGTCTGAAATGCAATCCCCCTCCTAAATCCTAACCTGAGAGCCAGCTAAGATCTCCAGTCAAGTGATGACCCCCTCCCCATCTGGTCTGTGACACAGTAAGTAATGATGAGCAAGAGAAAAAAGTACATAAATGGTTTCAACTCCAATCACTGATACAAACCCCCAACATTATGATTCTTACTCCCTCTCTCCCTTCACTCTTTCTAACTTCAAACTTTCTTCCTTATCTGTCTTTGGTATAATCTGTCCACTTGTATGTTGTTGTTTTTATTTAAAAGGCTACGAATGCCTGTACAGCACTGCATTTTTTTAAAAAAAGAAAGCAATATTTCTTTGCGCTACTATACTATTGTTTTGACTTTATATTAATATTAATAATTATCTGTAGGTGACGATCCGGCTCGGATTGGTAGCGTTCTTGAATCTGAGTTAAAAGTTAAGAGTTGTGAGCCTCTGAGTTCAAAAGGACATGTTAAGTAAACTGTTCAATATAATTTTTTTGCTTGGACTCTGCAAAGATTATGTCACTGAGGTAAAGACATTTCAAGAAAATGAGTCAACGTTTCGGGTCCACGACCCTTCGTCAGAACTGGGGCATGTTGGGAAGGAGAGGCTTTTAAGGGCAAACAGAGAGGGGGGAGGCAGGGCAAGGAAGACAAAGGAGAAAATGGAGTCATGTAGCTCAGTGGTTAGAGCACTCGCTTTGCAAGCGAGAGACCTGAGTTCAATTCCAGGCAGAGGGCGAAACCTTGGGCAAGTTTCCTTACTCCACACAGAGCCTAATAATAATCCCTCCAAAAACAATAATAAAAATTGGTCATTTTCAATCTATGACTGTTTGTGGGACATTGCTGTGCTCAATTGGCTGCCGCGTTCGCCCACAAATATACAGTCAATTCACTTTACAGTGTGTTCTGTGAAGCGCTTTGGGACGTCCTCCCGACGTGAAAAGCGCTATATCAAATGCAAGCATTATTATTATTATTATTATTATTATTATTATTATTATTATTATTATAGAGGACATGGGTGATTGGTGAGAAGACTGAAGGGGAAGGCCTCCAGTCATGATCTAAACTAGGGGAGGGAGGGGGCACGGTAGAGGGATTGGGGGAGAGACTTCCAAAGCTTTGAGGTGTAGCGCCTAGAAGCGAGGCCGCTGATGGTGGAGCGGAGGGGATGAGTGACAAGCAGGAAGCCAGAGCCAGCCGAGGGAATGCAGAAGGTAGTGGAGTGAGGAGAAAGCAAACCTGTTGTGATGGGGGTATGGAGTTTAGTGTGGGTGAGAATGCAGGCAGCCGAGAATATGGGCTTACTCCATCGTAATGCATGAAGGAGGACACATCGAAATATATCATTTCAATACATCTTATGTTATCAATGTCACTTCTTATATTTCCTGAGTGTTTGTCAGTTTCGATAGATCAGTTTTCAAAACAATTTCCCCTTGTGCCTCATATTCATATTTTAATCATATTGAAAATCGCTGCAGAAAGATTACGCCACAGGATCCAAAATCGTTTGAGGATGTCAGATGAGCACACAACTGGAGACAGAGATGCAGCTGATGGGAGCCAAGCTCCATGTAAAACTGGGGATACTCAAACTGGCTTAACTAAAAGGAAACACAGTTTCTTAAAGAAAAATAACCAATCACCCCAAGAAACCAGTGGTGCAGTACTCAAGCCATGCAATGAAAATCCAAAAGTAGAAACATCAATGATTAGAAATTTTGGCAGCAGATTAAGTAAACGATTTAGCTTCAAAGAAAAAATACCCATTAAAAGTCCAACAAACAAGCAAAATGTGAACGAGTTCAAAGCTTTGGAAGAAGACCAATGTGACACAAATGACCCGCAAGTGACTGATAGCACAACTGAGAAGTCACCGCTGTCTGGTAAGTCACTGAATTGTAACGCATTCAGTACACATTTGCATTTTGTAAAAGGGAGTGTATTATGCCGGCGCATGTGCAAGCAACTGCCAGGATGGTGGAAGGAGAACTGGATGGACTTTGGACTTCTTTTTATGCTCTTATGCCACGCACTAAAATATAAGATGAGTTTTGTAAATCTAATACACTGTACAGGCATGGAACACAATAATAATCCTTGCATTTGGTACACACAAGTAAATCATTCAGGTCTAGCATGAAACAAAATCATTTACTGTACACTCTGTAATATAACTCTATCCAAATCAAGGCTTTGTTAGTAAGCTTCCTTATTCGTCAATGCAAACACTCATAAACCACACTCCCAGTGTCCTTTTGTACTTCCTGCTCTTCTTATTGGCCCTTTTGTTTATTTTTAGTTTACTCTTAAAGGTGTATCCAACACACTCACGTGGTCTTCTACCTCAAGGAATGAAGTCAATTCACTTTACAGTATATTCTGCGAAGCACTTTGAGACGTCGCGAAGACATGATAAGGCGTTTTATCAAATGCAAGGATTATTATTATTATTAGAGTATCTATAACTAGACTGAGATTTAGAAATATGTATGCCACCTAAGTGCGGAAATTGTCCTGCACCTCGAATGGAATGTACGCTCTCTCCCTGGAAGGAGTGCACCCTGCGTACCTAACCTCAGTATATATCAGGCGCAAGTTGGTGAGGGCCATGACTTGGGGCTACCAGAGTGCATTGGAGCACTGCTGGAATTTAACCAGCTAAAGCCCCATTGTGAGGAAGCTTCCCGTTGCTTGTCCAGCTAGGATCACCTTACCTATTAAGGGCTTTTGCTTGCTGGGCTAACAGGAGTCGAGTGGGAAGAGCGCCTGCAAGCAGCCTTCTCTTCCACGTCCTGGAAGCCAGATTAGCGAGCCTATCTGATGTGTCATCAGCAGTGCATTGGAGTAATAATAATAATAATAATCCTTGCATTTGATACCTCGCTTTTCACGTTTTCTAGACATCCCAAAGTGCTTCACAGAATATACTGTAAAGTGAATTGACTGTATATTTGTGGGCGAACGCTGCAGCCAATTGCACACAGCAATGTCCCACAAACAGTCGTAGATTGAAAATGACCAATTTATTATTGTTTTTTGTTTTGGAGGGATTATTATTAGGCTCTGTGTGGAGTAAGGAAACTTGCCCAAGGTTTCGCCCTCTGCCTGGAATTGAACTCAGGTCTCTCGCTTGCAAAGCGAGTGCTCTAACCACTGAGCTACAGGACTCCAGTACTGCGGACCTGAATGGCTCAGGAACCAAACTAACGAGAGCACCATAGAGGGTTGATTTGATTCCTGCTTTCTGTTACCAAGCACATCACCTTAGATCCAGCTCAGCCCTTGCACCTCTCCAGGAGGATAACTTTATCTTCTATACCTAGCAAAGAATAAATTGAATTTAATATCACAATTGAATCTATTTTCAAATCACGCCTCCGTTTTGTTTCCCTCCCCCTTGTCGCTTTGAAGAGAGGAAGCTTTAGATAGCAGCTCTGATTTAATTATTGCCATTTAGTGCACTTACATGTTGGAGTGAAATCTAGATCTGAATTTTTAATGCCTTTTTAAATCATCGAGCTATATGTTTTTGTCTGCTTTAAAATAAAGATACTCTGATCAGGACTCCTCCAGACCAAATTCTTGGCTCCTAAAAAGTATATATTACTAAAGATAGTGACGCATGCTGGCGTTCAGTTCTGCGGCTGCCAGGTGCCCTCTTTTATCTCGCTGAAGTAAACTGACATTCTTCATGTGTGAATTTAGACAGTGACTCTCTGCAGATTATACAGTATGGCTCATCACAGCCAAGCTTAAGTATGATTAACAGTCAGCAAATGGGAGCAGGCACCAATGCTAATTCTCACCATCACCACACCACCTTTCGAAAAGAGAAGGGAATTTCTCTCTCCCGGTGTCCTGGCCAACAATGCCCCAAATAAAATTTGATTACTCATTCCATGGTGGTTTGTGAGACATTACTGTGAGCAATTGGCTGCCATGTTTCACCCACAAAATACAGCCACTACACTTTACAGTTTACCCTGTGAAGCGCTTTGAGACGTCTCGAAGACGTGATAAAGAGCTGTATCAAATGCAAGGATTATTATTATTATTAATGTAGGGTAACCAGAAACAGTCCCATCTCGCCGAAGCCCAACTATATCAGATAAGAATAACAACAACAAAGGTTTGAAAAGGGAAGGTCACATTTTGCTCCGAAAGGTGTGTTACTTTTAAATGTTTTTGCAGTGATGGAAATAAATGAGCTCATCACAAGCAAGAAGTTACTGGAGGCGCAGGAGAATATAAATAAATTGGAGGAAGAATTGCTGAACGAGACACCGCCTGAATATCATGAAACTCATTGCCATGAATTCACAAAGCGAGTCCGAGATCTGGGCCACCTCTGCGATGCTCTTGCTAAACAAATGAAGTCCATAGTGTTCGATTCACTCACAGCAACTGAGGAAAATGGTCACTGTTTGAGCTCGGCCCTGAAGGTTATAGAATTGGAAGAAATCGCAGATAGAAAGTGGCTGGAAAGGACAAATCAAGCTGAAGACCAGAGTTTCAGAAGACCCAGGAAGTTGCGTGATATGTGGCAAAACACCATAATGGAAAGTGTAAGGAAAACAATAAATGATGTGCCTTTAGCTAAGAAGGAGGAAAACAAATCCTGGATTGCTCTACACCTCGCTCATCTTCAAATGACCCTTTTGAAAGACTTGAAAATAATTAAGAATTTTGTGCAGAAATCTTACTCGGAAGAGGACAAGATTTGTAACCGTTACGTAAAATGTTACCATGAAAAAATATCCTCACACCTGCAAGAGCTGGCACAGGGAGACCTCGAGTTAAATGATCTCAATTCGTTTCTTAAGTGGGTCATTCACACTTACCAAAGGTACGTCATCGGTAGGTGGCAAAAGTAGTTTGTATTTCGGGCAAGTGTCAATGTATTAAGTAATGCGGAGGAGTGACAATTTTGTGAGTATTGCCCTTGTGAGTTGGTGAAAATAGCAATGTTTGATCACAACCTTAACAAATCTACTGCAGTTATTACAGTAGTTATTACTTCAGGCCACTAGGTAACAGCATTAAACTTGTGTAGGTGTATTTGTGTAACCAGCTGTGGAGCCTCACTATCTGTCGAAGATCCCAAATTAGTTACATTAAGGGAAATGAAGTTTAGCAACTATATTTCTAATTTAAACCACTGTCTCCTCGCTTCATGGAAGGACTTTCGATTTTAATTGAAAATACCCACTGCCTTACAGAGCTCTCTTCTTCACTAAAAGGACGACAAACTGAATTTTGCCCACAAAATATACAGTCAATTCACTTTACAGCATATCCTGTGAAGCGTTTTGAGACGTCTCAAATACGTGATAAGGCGCTATATCAAATGCAAGGATTATTATTATTATTCTCTGTAGGGGACTAAACTTTAAAATTAGAATAAGATATTATCAATGAAAGGAATCGTGGGAGTATAAACAACACGACATTTCAATATCATTTTAATCTGGTTAAACTGGCTAATTAGGTGCACGTATGAGTGAAAATCAAGGACATGTGTATAAAAGCGAGACTCAAGCCAGTTAGGCAAGTAGAAAGATTTTAACCCCACAGAAGAGTGGATGTTTGCAACAGACTCTCAAGAGACGAAGTTGTTGCTGTGGTGATAAACTACTTTAAAAAAAAACTGGATAATTCACTTGGAAAAGTATAGAGAGGTACACCCAGATCTGTCAGGTATTTTCCAAAACCTTTAGATCTGGAGCTAAAGTTGTGGGAGGGCATCCAGGATGGGTTGAAGAGGTTTTGATTTCCTTTGGGGATCAGCAGGTATCTATACAGAAGCAGATAGAATAAATGGGTGAAGACCACAATGGGAAAGATCCTGAAACTCTTTAAGCACTTTTATATGTGTGCTTTTGTTTACAGTGAAGATGTTATGGGTCATCCCGATCTTTCACCAGAGGTGAACGTGCAAGAGCTCAGTCCTTTGGTAGATGAAGAGACGGTTAAAGACGTGAAGGACAGATATCTTAAAGCGCTACAGGTAAGAGTTAGGTGAACAATAATACTGTACATTTATATGAGAACACAAGATGCTTTCAGATGAAGAAGGCCCTTCAGTGCATTTGATCTCATCCTTCCAGAACACCCACTCTTCTTCATCCCATCACAACATTTAGCTGTTTTTTTTAATGAGTCCAGTTTTCTGGCCTCAATCTCCCTTCCTGGCAACCTGTCCACTTGTTAATTATCCTCTGGGTGAAGAAAAACTTCCTGCTATTTGTCCTAAAATTGGCCCTTTGCAACTCTAAATGTATGTTCTCTTGCTCTAATGACTTGGTGCATCCTAAAGTATTGTTCTGGGTTTACTTTTTCAATCCCATTTAAATTTTCATTCACCTTTTTAATGCCCTTCTTTTCCATCATTGTGTTCGCTGTCAATCTGCAACAGAAATTCCAGAGAGACCCATCAAATGAACAGAAAAACCCACCTCTTAAACAGGAAATCTTTTACTCGCGGAAATGACCACACTTTTAAAAGAGTGAGATATTCTGTTTATTTTGTGTACAGTTGACGGTTAAGGAATTATTGATCAGAACTTTGGAGGGAGAGGAGAAAGCGTGGTCAGAAGATGAAGAGGCAGAAGAACTAATGGGTTATTACCATTCTGATATAACCCATCATATAAGCAAGGTAATTACTACAATCTTTTATTATGCAATCTCTCAAATCAAATGTTTGAGTCGTCAATGCATTGTGAAACTATTTTTACCAGTGCAATTTAGTTTTGGTGTCATTTTCTTAAAGCTTTCGATTTTTATGCACTCTAATTAACTTATTTCAGGGTATTTCATAGTTGCCATTAGCTATTGTTACGCTATTTGTATTTCCTCTTCCAATTTCCATCCTCCTCTGAGTGTCTACTTTCCACAGGGCTCCTTGAGTTGGAATTAAACGGCTTAAAATGTTGATAGGGACAAATCTAATAATCATCTAATAATCACAAAAGGTGGCCTGCTTGAAGCTTTGCTGGCACACAACAACCACAAAATTACATTTGCAAAGTGCCTTTCATGTCGGGAGGACGTCCCAAGGCGCTGAACAATCAGGGATCAGGACACGAGCGGGGGAGGGGGGGGCAGGATTGGGATGAGGGAGGACAGAGGGGGTAGGAGGGCGGCTGAAGACACGGTCAAAAAGGAGGGTCTTGAGTCGTGCCTTGAGATAACAGACAGGTTGATAGAGGGTCAACAGGTCAGAGCTGTAGGAGGGGGCAAGACCATGGAGGGCCTTGAAAGTGAGGAGGAGGATTTTGAATTCTATCTTCTGAGGGATGGGAAGCCAGTGGAGTCGGGCGAGGGTGGGGGTGATGGTGTCACGGAGCCAGGTGCGGGAGAGTACACAAGCTGCAGAGTTCTGGATGCTCTGCAGCTTGTGGAGGGAAGAGTTGGGGAGGCCGACAAGGAGGGAAGTTCTGTAGTCAAGCCTTGAGGTGATGAATGAGTAATCCCAAGATCCCACTACCAATGTGGCTGACCATCAAGAAACCCTGCAGTCTTATAGTAGATTTTTTCTGCACTTTTAAGGGAAGTCAGGGGCAGGCAAAAGGAGGGAAGTATTGTTCAGAATGATGGGTCGGAAGTGGGAATAGGGAGGTTTAACTTTAAGTGGACTCAGTAAGCTTTTCTTTAATTTCTCTAGACTTAACTGTAGCCTGATTCCAGCATGTTCTCTTGAGTCAATACGATTTAGAGAAGTAACAACAACAAGATTACATTTGTATGGCACCTTTCACGTCGGGAGGAAGTGAAAGCAAGTGAATTGGACCAGAATATTATATATGATTTGTTTGAGCTGCTACTTATAGCTAAACAATACAGAAAGGAAACATTCCACTATGAAACAAATAACAGCCATACAGTTCATGATTGTGAAACATGAAACATTCTCATAGGAAGATGTTTGATACCAAAGGAAAATAAATAAGAGTCAAGTTCGTTAATGAACCCCCACCCCCCGCCAAGAAAATGCAGCCTCTCATCCGATTCTAAATCATATTGTAGTGAAACGTACAATGCAGTAATTATTCAGTCATATACCATATTTACACTCCATTTTGTTCCTTTTTTATTTTAAGCTATATGGAATTTGTAAAACTTTCACATCGGAAGCAATTTCTAGTGATGATAAAAATAGTAAGAGCCCCTCTTCGTCCAAACTGATCCTATGATTTGGTCCAAATGATCTCATCCTTCCAGAACACCCACCCTACCATTTGACCGTCACCACATCAAGTTGCTTTGTAAATGATAGTGTAACTGGACTGAAGAGAGTTGGGTTTTTACTAGTGTCTGTGAAGGCCACCAATCTCCCAAATGAAAAAAAATGGCCATTCACTTCATTTCTTTCTGTGAGACATGATGACTGTGTGCAAATTGGCTGCTACATTCCCACAAAATACAAAGTCACTCCACTCTACAGTATATCTTGTGAAATCCTTTGAGACATCCTACGAAATGCAACCATAATTATTGTTGTTAAGTCAAGAGTTAGCAATTAAGAATTGTTGACCAGTAAAATTCCCTATTCTTTTTGAATACTATTATAGAATCTTCCATCACAGTTATGAAAGCTATCAAATGCAGACATATTGAAAAACAGTTTCAACAGTGAATAATTCAAATCCTGAATACTTCTGTTTTTTGTTTTACAGATGATTCATGAATATGTAAAAGAGTCAGGCAACATCAGCAAGGAGTTGGAAAATAACACTTTACTTATCTGCTTGGATGAATTAATAAATTTAGTGCAAAGGTAACTTAATCTATATCAAACCCTTCCTGGCAATCTGTTCCACTTGAGGCACTATCCTGCGTGAAGGCCGATATATAAGTGGAAGTTGTTGTTAATTATCTTCTCCAATATGCTGGTTTTGATATAAATTGTCAAATTAATAACATGGGACTTTAACTGAAGTAAACTAAACATACTTACTTCAAGATTGATTTACGTATGCAAACTGTATATTTACGCTTATTTGATATTTTTAAAGTTACCAGCAGAAACTACAAGCTTTTACAAAAGAGGTCCGTGCAAACACCCTATCTGTTGTGATCTCAAGCATCAACAGCTGCATGGAGTTAAGGTATGACTCCATTAATCGAGACATGAAATTATATTTCTCATGTCAGTTTGCCCTCATAGATCTGTTAGATTCAAACATACAAAAACAGAAGGTCATGAACTGTACAACAGTAAAAATCCATGGGTGAAATTTGCAACATTTCATCATGTTTAATGTTATACATTATTCAACATATATTACATTACCCTTCATTGTCTAAGCCTTGTATTTTGTTCACTCAGTTTTCACAACTAAGGTTACTTCAATTAAGCACTGCACTATTATACTACAAAGATTACAAAGAACATACAGCACAGAAACAGGTCAATTGATCCAACCGGTCCATGCCAGTGTTTATACTCCACAACAGTCTTCGCCCATTCCTTACTCCCTCCCATACCCTTCTATTTCCCTCTCTTTCATGTGAAGCTCTAGCTTCTTCTTGAATGCACCTATAATATTTTGCAGCTAAGCTCAAGCTCATGAACTTAATTTCTCCTGCAATATTTAACAGCCATTAAAAATGCAGAAAAGGAAACTCCATCTTCAGTATTAGGCTTCAGCACAGGGTTTAAGCTGCTGTGCAAGAAGTATGTCAATTCAAGATGTATAGGTCACATTGAGAGTACTGCATTCTGTTCTGGTCACTGTGACATTAGCAGTTTGCCCAGGCCATAAAGGCAGTCCACAGGAAACCAACAAGAATGATCCCCCGCGTTAGAGGAATGAGCTGTGAGTAACAATTCGACAACTAGTGTTCTTCAGTCTTGAACGGTGACACAATATCTCAGAGGCAATCTTACAGAGGTAAAAAGATTTAAAATGGGATTGTCAAAAAAAAGCATTTCTTTACCCAGCGACTAATTACAAATTGGAAGAAGTTACCAGGAAGGGTGGCAAGGCCAGGACATGGGACCTATTTCAAAAACAGTTTGAATGTTGTATTGGAAAGATGGCAGGGAAGGTATTCTGGAGGGATGAGATGAGGTGGGCCAAAGGGCCTTCTTCATCTGAATCTCCCTTGTGATCTCAGGCAATGATGTTCACATTTGGAGTTCTGATATACTATGTACAGTGACCAGGTGGCATTCTAAAACATAACTCAACACATAAAATAGAGGTCTGCCTGTTATTCCCCCATAAATTATTTTTTTATAACCAAAAAGAGTTTTGATTATGTTTATTAATATGTACACCAAATGTCTGTGGTTATTTATCCTTCCCAAGGGAACATGTGGAGAATCTAAGACAAGGCCATACTGTACAAGACGACAAAACGGAAAAGGCATTGGATAATGCTGTACAAGATTTTAATACATTTCTTTTAAAACAAGTTCTGATCCAGGTGAAGGTATGTAACGAGCAATGTTCTTCTCAAATGGTTCAAAACAATAATTTTTGTGAACTGTATTCTATAAAGTTTCATCTTCCAGCCTTATTTCAAGAAACTTATGACAAAGAGGTGGCTGTCCAATGGCGAGGATTTTGAAAGTATCATAAGGATAACTGAAGATTATTGTCAAAAGTTCAAGAAGATAAAACCAACCAATTGCCAGGTTTGCTGACAAGAATTAAAATATTACAATTTTCTCTGTACATAAAACAGAATTACATTGTTCTAAGTAATATAACCAATGGTTATTTGTTACTGCTTATGTACAAGGTTCTGGCAGACGATATCCACTATCAGTTTGTTAAACTATACATTACACAAATCATGAAACAATGCATTCGCTGTAAGCAATCCAGCAAGAGAGAGGCAGCAGCAACTAAGATCAAAGATGAACTGGGAACAATCAATACAATATTTGAAGAACTTGTAAGTAATTGTAAAGTATTTTTATGTTCACAAATCTATGCTTGTGGAAGCGTTCCAGCATGTCCTGGAAATGTAAATTGAACCCAAAGGAAAATTGGTGTTAACACAATCATAAGAAAACATAAAACCCACTTCAGGACATTAAACAAAGAATTGCAGCCTACATTATTTAATCACTGGTTGAAACAAGACATGATATTTGATCACCTCTCGATTCAAGATCCTGGTGCTCACCTTCAAAGCCCTCCAAGGCCTTGCTCCCACCTACCTCTGCAACCATCTGACACCCTACCAACCTGCCCGCGCTCTCTGTTCAGCAGGTTCCGGCCTGCTTCACATCCCCCACCTCGCCCGTCCCTCCATTGGCAGGCGGGCCTTCTGCCACTCTACCCCCACCCTCTGGAGCTCCATCCCACAGACCCTCTGCCTCACCCCCTCTTTCGCCGCTTGCCCTCCACCCTCCCCAAACTCCAGCTCGGACCCGAAACACTGATTATCCAGTGTCTTTGGGACGTCCAGTTGACGTAAAAGACACTATACAAATGTAATTTTATTGTTGTTGTTGTTTCGGCCACAAAATACACAGTCACTGCACTTTATGGTGTATCCTGTGAAGCACTTTGAGACGTCTGGATGATGTGATAAAGTGCTTTGTCAAATGCAAGGATTATTATTATATTTCTATTTACCCCACATCTGTCATTCAAAACCAGATACCCGGACATCAACAATACATTAACTTGTCAGACCTATTCCAAACATATTTGCATACTGTTTGGGGATGAAAATAATTCTTCCAAACCATCAGTTTGAGGCCTGCTAGCCTTTTCATTAAGAGTAACAATATCTTTATCTTAGCTACTTGGTGGTGTAAATGGATTTTCACTTCCATCTTCAGTTTATTACCCACGACTATTTTTATTCCAACATTGCAATCAGATGTTGAACTTTTCCTTGCAGCAAAGACAAAGGCTTTCTATTTGTCATTCTACTTGAAATTGAATTTCTAATTGATTATATTTTATTATATATATAATTGATTATATATATAAATAATTCTAATTAAAATTCTAATTGAAATGGGTGCTACAGTATGAACTGTTAATTTTATGATAGAGAATGGGCAACAATAATGTCATCAATATTGCCTTTTTTTCTAATTGGATTTTAATTGGTTGGGATTATTCACTGTCTTCTCATTTCATTTATTTTTACCCATCAAATATACAGTCAATTTACTTTACGGTATATTCTGTGAAGCGCTTTGAGATGTCTAGAAGACGTGGGAAGCGTTATATCAAATGCAAGTGATCTCAAGGGGTTTTTACTACATTCAAAGCTTACTAATGAACTGATATTAACTCATAAAGTTAATTTTTTTGAAAGTTTCATTTTTTTTTCATCATGTTGCTCAGAAACATAACTAATGGGAAACAATTAGAATAAAACATCTTGCTATATGTTGGTTGGTTAGATCTCCGCATTGATCCTTCCTTATTTTTTAGGGAAGTACTGCAAGTTGGCTACTTACAGCAACTAAACATTTGGCTGGTTTTATTGGCGACAGCAAAAGTGAACTCGAAGGGCATCTGAATAAACTATATGAAGAGTATCGAGATATTAGGTAAAGTTTGCTGGTTGTGTTTAGTTTTATACAGCTTTTCTTGATGTATTCTTACCCCTTGCTACACTACCTTTCCTCTATGTTACATTATATCTTTTTGTTGAGCCAACAAGATGAGAAAAAGGAGAACCGATGAAGTGCATGACATTTGATGGGAGCAAAGAATAATCTGGTTTGCTTGACTTTCTCAATTAGGCAGATCGCAATAGCAAAAGGTTTGAAGGTGTTGGAAATCAGATGAGATCCCACATTGTACACTGAGGTGCTGCTGGAGTATAGTCTGAGAGCCTTGGCAGCATCCTCCCGCCCACACACATTGCTACTGTTATTATTACGCCTAATAATAATCCCTCCAAAACAAAAAACAATAATAAATTGGTCATTTTCAATCTACGACTGTTTGTGGGGCATTGCTGTGCGCAATTGGCTGCCGCGTTCGCCCACAAATATACAGTCAATTCACTTTACAGTCTATTCTGTGAAGCGCTTTGGGACGTCCTCCCGACGTGAAAAGCGCTATATCAAATGCAAGGATTATTATTATTATTATTATTATTATTACTGGTTGAGCGATGGCTCCACTAGTTGGAAGTGCGGAGATTCAGCAGCTGCTTCAAATAGTTTTAGTAAAACAAAGTTTGTTTAAAAATGCATTGGTCTCTTTATGTTGATATTTCTTGTGATTTACAGTGAAGAGCATGTTTCAGCCCTGCTTTATTTCCGTGGCATCTCAAGAGGAAGAAGGAAAAATAGACTCATCAATCAACTGAAAAACAACAAATCGGATGAACCAGCCACCAAACCTCTGTTTAGGGATATCAGTGTTCCAGTTACAGTGAGTTGTATGCCTTGAGAATGAAAACATGTTGTTTATATATTCAAATTTTCATGAATTTTGTGTTGTGACATTCTTGGCCAATGCCTGTAGGACGTGTTTGCAAGATTGCAAATGTTATGAAAGTTATTTGCACCAAAATAAATCGGGGCTTATTTGTTTTTTAAAACTTTGAAAATCAACACAGAATGTCATGGGTTAATTTTTTCTGCGTCTTTTGATATCATTAATATGTTCCAGTTATTACATTAACATATATACACTTGGAGCTTATTACCCTGTATCTTAATGGTAAATGCTTTCAAAGTGTCTTTCAGATTTGCTCTTTAAGGTTGGGGAACATGTGTTTTTGCCTCACATTGACCTAAACACAGTTCAATACATTCATAACCTTCTGCCTCCAATCTATTGCTGTTGTGGTTTCACCTCAAAGAGAGCCTGCAAACAAATACTTGTTGAAATATCTGGTACACTACCAAGCCTGGGCCAAAATCCCCCAAATAAAATGAGTAATTCATTCCATGGCTGTTTGTGGGATAATGCTGTGCGTCAAATTAACTGTTCACAAAACATAGTCCTTTGACTTTACAATGTACCCTGTGAAGTGCTTTGGGACTTCTTTCTTGATACAAAAGGCACTATACCAAATGCAAGGGTTATTACTATAGGAACATGGGCCAAGTCAAGGCATAGGTATACGTGATAGTATACCAGATGTTTCACCAAAGGTGATCTGTGACAAAACAGTATTGAAGATTATCTTTAAAATATTCAATTAACCCCTCAAGAAAAAAAATAACAATAATAAAATTGTTCACTTCAATCCAAGACTGTTGTGGGACACTGCTGTGCGCAATTGGCTGCCGTGTTTCACCCACAAATATGCAGTCAATTTACTTTATAGTATATTCTGTGAAGCTCTTTGAGACATCGAGAAGACATGAAAAAGCGCTATATCAAATGCAAGGATTATTATTATTATTATTATTATTTTTATTATTATTATTATTATATCAATCCAACTACCGGATTATTTATTCTCGCCACAGCTCTATGTTCATGATCAGGAATGCTATTCTTGAGTGGAAGCAGTGGGAGTGAAGAGGGTGAACTGCCTGACCTTTTACTGTGGTTCAGAGATCTTATCTTTCATGGAATTCCAAGGGGGCAATGCTCTACATAATTATACATGGAATTAGTTATACAGAGTGATACAGAAATTCCTGGTTAATCATTCCCCTCATTATTTTCCTCACTGAAAAAGAAGCCATCTGATCCTGGTAAATTAGAACAATTGTTCAAGTTAATCCCTTCCATTTAATGAGACTCTGAAAAAGCCGTGAGATTTAGCACATTCCCACTTCTATGACCCAGGGAAAATAATTCACTGAAAACTACAGGATAATCCACTGAATAGTACAATTACGGTGTTGCGTAGTGCCAATTCAGTTAAGTGGGTTTATGAAGGTGAAACAAACAATCCTGGAAATAAAGAATGTAAATAAATGCAATATGTTTGGAGTGAAATGTTTAGATTATTATAGAACTCTCATATTGTACCATTGAATATGCTACTTTAGTATGATACAAAACACTATAGTTACTTTCTTAAAGACTATGAAAAGTTCAGAAATCCTCATATGATTTTCATGTTATTCTGGTGAAATGGATAAATCCGATTGTTATGATACAATTTTGATGGTATTTTTTGTTATTTTTATGGCAACAGAAACTTGTTTTTTAGCAGAGGACGTTGTTTATAGTGGATTCCGAGGAGAAATTGCGGCCACACTTTTCTATTGGCCCAGGTCATGCATAATTAAATGTTCATAATGATTAATTAGTTCTCACTCCTTCCTTAATGTGCTCTTACACTAAAGGACACAATAATAATAATAATAATCCTTGCATTTGATATAGCGCTTTTCACGTCGGGAGGACGTCCCAAAGTGCTTCACAGAACACACTGTAAAGTGAATTGACTGTATATTTGTGGGCAATAGCGGCAGCCAATTACGCACAGCGATGTCCCACAAACAGTCGTAGATTGAAAATGACCAATTTATTATTTCTTTTTGGTTTTGGAGGGATTATTATTAGGCTCTGTGTGGAGTAAGGAAACTTGCCCAAGGTTTCGCCCTCTGCCTGGGATTGAACTCAGGTCTCTCACTTGCAAAGCGAGTACTCTAACCACTGAGCTACAGGACTCCACAATCTACACAAAGTAGGGCAATACGTGTGAGCCCCAATGGCCATTGTGATATCATATGTCTACTTTAATGAACAAGATCAATTGCTGTAGATTGAGGCAATGAAACAAGAGAGTTCTGGGATTATGTGGAGACACAGTGAGGAAACAATAAGTTAAGAGGCAGATATGATGGGGCATAATACTATCAAATTAGCAAATAAAGTTCACAGGAGGTGTTGGGGGTGGGATGGGGGTGAGTCCGAAAAGCACTTGCTTAACATTTGCCTTGACTACAAGACTTGTGCAACCGATTTGAGTCATTTTGATATAAAAACACAAGTTCCTGCTTTCCGCAAAATACAGTCAATCCACTTGACAGTAAATCTTTTGAAAGGGGTTGAGATGTTTCAACAACGTGATATGGCGCTATATCAAATGCAAGGATTATTATTAGAAAAATAATTGTAATAAACTGCATTAATTGTAATGACAAACATAAATAATTTCAATCTTAGATACCACTGACCTAAACTATAAATCCTGTCCTTTTTAGTTGAAGAATATTTCCTGGACCCTAATCTTATTTCTGTTTTGAATTAATATTTTTACCGAAATTCAAAGTCTTAAGGCTGCCAACGTATACATGCTTGCTTTCCAAACCGCAGTGTTTCTGTGGCTGTTCTCTTGAGGTTTCAATGCTTTCTACCCGAGATATGCAGTTCTGCTTGAACTGAATTGAGCCTTTTTATAATTGTATTCAGTTCTCACACAAAAGTCAAAAATACATCTACATGGATTTTGTTTAAAAGGAAAAGGGTGTACTTTGTTTATATCACTTATCACCACTTATCTTCCTCCCCTGGATGTGTTGTCTGGACTGGTAGAGCAGCTGGCGAGATGGTGGAGAGCCAGGAAACGACGCTTGCATTTCGCGACTGAACCAAAAAACAAACATGCTCGAAAAAAGAAGCAAACGTGTCCTGGTGACCTCGCCAAAAATTGGTCATTCACTTCATGCCTGTTTGTGGGACATTACTGAGTGCAAATTGAAACTGTGCCTACAAAATTTTAAGTGTACTCATGAGACTAACCTACAGACAACGGTGGAGAAGACCTGAACTGTATGCATTAATTCTAGGTAGGGTGTGACCTTATACAACAACAACAAATTACAGGGAAATGAACCAGAGCTGGGGATTTTTATACTTTATAAACATATATAGTTTTAGTATGTCATACACTTTATATATTACATATTATGCTGTACACAGCTTGAGTATGGCTTGTGGGATTTGAATTCAACAGATTTCCTAGCTCTCATTGGTATTGAAGTCAGACATTTCCATCTTTACTGCAGAAATAGGGCAATCAAAAATTTTACGAAGTTGCAAAATTATGAAACTGAGATATTCAATTAAAATTTCCTCTTTCTACAAGCTTCACTTCTCAAAACTTATTTCAACATAGCATTGCTTCCAACAGTCGCCTTCTTGAGCCTATCCCCCACCCCATTCTCATCCAGCTCCACAAGCTCCCCATCCCCCAGAGGACTGAGTTCAAATTCCTTGACCTCACTTTTAATTCCCTTCTGTCGCACTCTACCTCTGGAACCTTCTTAAACCCTATCAACTTGCCCGTTCCCTCCACTGAGCAGACACTGGCCTGCTTCACTTCCCCTGCCCTGCCTGCCCATCATTGGTGGTTGGCCTTGTGAAAGGTGCTATATAAATGCATGTTGTTGTGGTTAAAATGATGCACAGTACTCTATCACAAGATTGGTTTGGATGATTAGCCCATCTGATCTCATTCTTGCAGCATATCCATTCTACCTAACAATATCATTTTATTGGAAAAAAATAGAAAGGTTGCAATGTAACAATAACTAACCTCACCTTGCACTTGTCATTCATTCCCTTTAGTTTGTGTGTCATATTCCTAAATCGTTTAGCAGTTAAGCACTATATGACTTGGGAATATGACACACATAGAATAATGCATGTAATTAAATATTAAATTAAATATTAAATTAAATATTAAATTAAATATTAAATTAAATATTAAATTAAATATTAAATATTAAATTAAATTAAATATGCCTACAAACTACAAAATATTCTGTGAAGGGCTTTGACACATTTTGACGTGATAAGGCGCAAAATCAAATTCGAGAATTATTAGCATTGTTGTAAGGTTTCCAATTTGCACCACTGAGGATCCTTTATCAAGAAATAACACAAATTAGACCACCAAATATTTAATTACATACATGGGGAGCTTGTGGAGCTGGATGAGAATGGGGTGGGGGATAGGCTCAAGAAGGCGACTGTTGGAAGCAATGCTATGTTGAAATAAGTTTTGAGAAGTGAAGCTTGTAGAAAGAGGAAATTTTAATTGAATATCTCAGTTTCATAATTTTGCAACTTCGTAAAATTTTTGATTGCCCTATTTCTGCAGTAAAGATGGAAATGTCTGACTTCAATACCAATGAGAGCTAGGAAATCTGTTGAATTCAAATCCCACAAGCCATACTCAAGCTGTGTACAGCATAATATGTAATATATAAAGTGTATGACATACTAAAACTATATATGTTTATAAAGTATAAAAATCCCCAGCTCTGGTTCATTTCCCTGTAATTTGTTGTTGTTGTATAAGGTCACACCCTACCTAGAATTAATGCATACAGTTCTGGTCTTCTCCACCCGTTGTCTGTAGGTTAGTCTCATGAGTACACTTAACATTTTTAGCCCTGTAACCACTTGTTAATTTAACCAATAGTGGAGTAACATTCTGGAGATAATTTTCAATGTCCCTTCCAATGAGAGCTGACAAATCCATCTCAAGTCGTTTCACCCACAAATACACAGTCAAATAACTTTACAGTATATTCGGTGAAGCACACTGAGACGTCTCGCAGATATGGTAAGACGTTGTATCAAATGCAAGGATTATTATAATTATATTAATCCTGGAAGGATGAACTGTGTCTCAGAATATTTAGAGAAACAAAGCAGGAGAATTGTATAGCGTTGACCGACATTATGAGGGGAAGCTATCACCACTGGGAAGTTTCCAACAGACTGGAAGCAAGAAAATATTGTTCCCATTTTCAGGACTGAGATTAAATCAATGGCAACCAATGGGGGAGCAGGAGTGGAATAATTGATCAGATCATTCAAGATCAACAGTATTGACAACTGATTAAAAAGCTACGGCATAAACAGCACCCAGAGGAGCAGGTCAGTGACATTATATTCACAGACTGACATAAGTTGGAAGTACTGTAATTTAAATTTTACATAACAGTAAGTCTAATTGTTTGATTGCCTGTCCTCTTTCTCAATTAATGACGTACAAAACACACAGTCACTACACGTTAGAGTAAAATCCTGTGAAGTGCATGGAGATGTCCTCCTGATGTGAAAGGTGATATATCAAATGCAAGGTTTATCACTATCTTTCTTGGTAAAATGTGTCCCTTTTCGCTGCCGTTGATGTGCAGTACAGAGTTTCACAGTCATCTTACTGAGCTGTAATGTGAGAACCTGTTCTTATGGAAGCATTGTAGTCAGTCTGATTGCATCATAAAATTACACAATGAGAGTGGGAAGGAACAGAACATGAGAGACTTGGAATCTGGACTGAAATTGGGATCACATGGAGATAATAGGATGGACCTGATGAATCTGGCATAGGGGAGGGAGCCTTGGTGTCCTTTAGAATGGTGGTGATGAGGACAAAGTGGGTTTTAAAGATTTATTAAGAGCAGAAGTCAGTGGGAACGCTCAACAGACCAGGCATCTTTTAAAGACGCAATCCTGGCTAGAATGCTGCTGGGATTTCCAGAATGCTGTAAATCGTGTCTGTTTCTGAACTGTTGACAACATTCCTCACAGGCTAAACACACACTGGGAAATTTTGTTCTGCTTTTAATTTTGCCTGCAGACATCGTGCTCACATTCACTCCTTTTTTTAAAAAAAATCTGAAATCAAAGTATTTTCCCTCTTTATAGTACAATACAAAATTACATTTGTAAAGCGCCTTTCGCGTCCCAAGGCGCTGAACAGTCAGGGATTTGGATCTGAGTGGTGGTGGGGCAGTGGGGGTGGGTTGGGATGGGATCAGAGAGGGTGGAGGGTGAGGGTAGGAGGGTGGCAGAGGGCACGGTCGAAGAGGAGGGTCTTGAGATGTTCCTTGAAGGAGGCAAGGGAGGGAGTGAGGCAAAGGGAATGTGGGATGGAGTTCCAGAGGTTGGGGGTAGAAAGGCTGAAGACCCAACTGGCGATGGTGGGGCAGGCTGAGCGAGGGACATGAAACAGCCCAGAGCCTGCTGAGATGAGTGAGTGATCAGGTTGATAAGGGATTAGCGGGTCAGAGAGATAGGAGGGGGCAAGGCCATGGAGGGCCTTGAAGGTGAGAACGTGAATTTTGAACTCGATCCTCTGAGGGATGAGGACCAGTGGAGGCGGGCAAGCATGGTTGTGATGGAGTCACGGAGCCTGGTGAGCGAGAGGACACAAGCTGCAGAGATCTGGATGATCTGCAGCTTGTGGAGGGATGAGTTGGGAAGGCCAACAAGCAGGGCATTGGCATAGTCGATCCTGGTTTTAACTGGCATCTGTAAGGAGTTCACCCTCTGGAATCGCCCCTCAGATATAACTAATCCTCACAGTACCTTGCAGCCCTTAGTACCGACGATACAGAGACAACAACACATATCCAGGCACTGTTTTGTACTCCAGACTAAACAGTTGACCTGGGATCACACCTTGACATACACTGGAGAGATCACAGAACCATCAAACAGAATCACAGAGAGTGGATCCTGGAAACCCAACAGAAACGATCAGCTCTTTGCCCTGTACTGTCTAACCTGACTTCTGTGTTCCAGACGGACCAACCACTACTACTGTTGTTACTTCTATGCCTAGTAAACAGAACTGAAAACATATTATCCACAACTCCTCTCACTTTTCACGATCAAACTTCTTACTGGAGATAAATCCTTCACCCCGTACACTGGGAAGTGTGCTGACCCTCTACACAACTTCAACTATTTCAAGTTATATCTTTCTTTTATGTGTTTCTAACTCCACCTTCCCTGGTCACAGAGATAGCCCCCATCCTTCGCAGGCTGCTTTGCACGGAGAGGGATATGGATAACTTCTGAGCAGCCTTCCACAGCCTACTTGTTTTTCAGCCTTAAGATAGGCAGGTATCTGATGCTATAGCAGTTTCTTTCTCCGGTCCATTGTTCTTATATCTGTGCTCAAGGACCCGATTGCTCATTATCTCAGAGGAGTGAACATCTTCCCAGGAAATATGAAATGTCATCAGAAACTGACTTCAACCCATCCATCAAAGCTATTTTTAACCATTTAACTATCAAACCTTCTAGAACCTTCGGTTGCTGTTTGAAATACGTCAATGTATCCCGAGGTGATAGTCAATATATTTCAACAGTCTGACGGGCAGTCTGTCAGGACATCAGTGGTCCTGGGGTCGAGGGTGGAGGCAAAGAGATAGAGTTGGGTGTTATCCGCGTACATGTGGAAGTTGACCCCATGCCTGCGGATGACGTAACCAAGAGGGAGCGTGTACAGATTGAAGAGGAGGGGACCAAGGAATACTGTACAAGATGGTGCGGAGGCAGGAGGAGGAAAAGCCATTTGTGAAGACAAAGTGGAGCCGCTATGAGAGATAGGATCTGAACCATTCAAGGACAGAACCTTGAAGGTTAAGGTGAGAGGAGAGGCGGTGGATGAGGATAGAGTGGTCCACAGTGTCAAAGGCAGCAGAGAGGTAAAGGAGGACAAGGAGACAGAAGGAGTCCTGGTCACCGATGGACAGAATGTCCTTTGTCACCTTGACCAGGGCTGTTTCTGTACTGCGGGCAGCGCAGATACCCGATTGGAGGGGTTCATAAAGAGAGTGACAGGATACAGATGATGACACGAATACTTAATTAATATTAAAATATTAATCATATCCCTGTCAGCATTGCAGGGGGAATTCACTAATTTAAGTAACATTCCAAAAAACACACCAATTAAATGGTATTATTATTATTATTATTTATCATCCCAGCTTCGAGCTTCCAGCAAAACTGGGAATTTCCTAATATATAAAAATATATATAGGGAGAGAGAGAGAGAGAGAAATTGATTCATTTAAAAAAAGGGAAAGCTTTGAGACTCTTTGCTTTTTGGGACTTTCGATCTATTTAATATATTTATAGTCATGTAGTATATATATATGTATAAAAATTTGCAGATCTGTTTATTTTTGCCCAGAGTACGAACAACGTGGGTTTAAAATACCAAACGTATATATTTCACATTTAATATGACGTTAATAGATTGCAATAATACATATGAAATCTATATGTTAAAAATGCAAGAAATGAACTGAACATGAAATGTTCTTTGCTGGTGGTGGTGGTGGGGGGTGGGATCCAAGGGTATAAAATCCATGTGCATAGTGCACCGGTTGCTTTCAGGGAAATACCCATTGGAAATAAATCTTATTTTTCCACACGTGTGAAAAAAAATAACAATTAACGCGCAATGCAATTGCGGAGTTCCCCTCCAAGTGGTTCTCATCTGACAATCTTCTTCCAACTCCGCCCATGTGTGTGTGTGTGTGTGTGTGTGTGTGTGTCTGATGTGCATTGCATAAAGCAATGGGAAATAACGGGAAAAGGCAGAGGGTGAGAGGAGGCAGAGGTTGGAGAAGACTTTCCTTGTAAGTAACTCAAGTCATTCAGTCAAATGGAATCTCTCTCTGTGTGGGTTGCAATGTGTGTGTGTGTTGCAAAAAGTTAAAGGGTTTTACTGTTACAGGGGGATGAAAGGGGTGAATCATTTAAAGCCATGTTGTTTGCACCCGAGGCAAAACATAAACACATGTGTGTGCGTTTTTGTTTGTGTGTATATTTATATGTGTGTATATATAGATGTGGATTGACTGGGACCCCTGGCTGGCTTTGTGTCACGTTGAGAAATGCATACTTCTGCTTTAGTAGTTAGAGCGCTCGCCTCGCAAGCCGGAGGACCTGGGTTTGATTCCCAGACACGGCGATACCTTTGGGCAAGTTTCCTCCCTCCCTCCTTCCCTCCCTCCCTCCCTCCCACACACACCTCTTTTACTTAGTAAGTAGGAACCGGGTTGTTAGGCGGTTGGCGGATCACTTTTCCGGGGTTTTAAGCGCTCCGAGACGCCGTCCGGCCTGAAGGGCGCTATGTAAATGCAAGTTGTTGTAATAATCCCTTCAAAATAATAATAATAATAAGAAGAATTTGGTCACTCAATCCACGGCTGTTTGTGAGACCCTGCTGTGCGCAATTGCTTGCCACATTTTGCCCACAAAATATACAGGCAATTGACTTTACAGTATATTCTGTGAAGCACTTTGAGACGTCTCGAAGATGTGATAAGGTGCGATATCAAATGCAAAGATTATTAATTTTATCATTATTTCCAGGGAATGTTAACTTTTATTTGGCACAGATATGAGGGAGAGCTGGAGGTGGGGGTGTGGCAGGGAAGATTTGGGAGCACTGATCGATCTTTTCTATTCTCCTTTAGCTCTTTTATGGGGGTAATTCAGCCAGGGTCCAGGCTTGCTTTATTTTCTTATCACTTCAGAACGCCCAGGCTTTGGGAAATTGTCGATTTGCCTTTTAACTTTAATGGATAATATTGAAACTTCAAATGATATAAAAATATTTTCACAGCTGGTCTGATGATTGCCTGTTCCGGGTGACTGGTCTGTCTTTCCAAAAGCTACTGATGAGCCAGGCTAGACTGTGCTGTCATCGGCAATTTCCGGGAATCCTGCCAGACCTCTGAGACTGCCACAGTTCCGACATTGCATTGCCAAACATATCGCCTTGCAGCCAGTTCAGCTCCAATGAGACCCCCGCCTACTTCCCCCCATCGACAGCTTCACCCCCCCCCCCCACCCTCCACACCACCCACCACCAACCCCAACCCCTACCCCCTCGCTGGTATCTTGTATCCATTAGATGAAATATTCTGATGGGGGTCAAAATGTATTGGTTTACACAGTGGACCAGGAGATTAGTATCTATTTACAGTACTCTGCACGCGCTCATACAATAAATAGAAACCAAATCAACTGTGTCACATTAATAGAAAGTTCAGTGTTGCATTTTACCAATATGTTTCAGCTATGAGATGAAGCACTGCATGTCTGAGGATGAGGAACTTGCAAGATAAGACAAGTTTTACATCTACCTGCTTTCAGCCAAACATAAAATGTGTGAAACCAGAAAAGGTCATCGGGTCACCCACCATTGAATAGATATTCGCTGAATCCCAATCAATCAAGTGAAAGTTCCAGAAAATGTAGATATCCTCACATTTCCACCTGACCTCGTTCTCGCCCCAAACAATATTTCTGTTCTCCTTCCACTTCCCCAGTCTTGTAAACCACATTGGATGTGTTCACTCCGTATATACCAATCTCCATACTCACTGATACTGTTCTCAAACATTTAGTTATCCAGTTCCTTTTTAAAGGAATCAAAATGACACAACATTGACCAGTTTTATTGGGAATCTCTTTCATGTATCTACTGAGCTTTTTTACAAGAGGAATACACATCTAATTTGTAATCTTGATTAATTTTTTTGTTTTATTTTAAACATATTACTGTACTTTGAGTTCTCCCAACACAGTCTATGTCTGCTTTTTGATTATATTACTCACATGTCCTCCTCAATGAATAGCATTGTTGGCAAACACGGAAGTGAAAAGAGACAATAAATATCAATCTTTTTGCAGAACCCTCTGCGTTCCTTCCAACAATTTATAAAATGAATAGAATGAATAAATGGAACCAGGTGGAAAAACAATTCTACAATAAATCTTAACGACCAATTGTAGAGGTTTTGTGAAATACCATGTCACATAACTGAATTGTTGCGTTGTTGATTCCTATTTCATTTGCTATATATTGCATTGTTTTGGGGATAATTAACAAGCTAAAACATTTTATTTAATAGTTGTGATAGAAATTGATTCTTGAGCAGGTTTATTTTTTTTTAGGTGGACAAACAAGTATAAATCTGTGGAAGCTAGTTTTCAAAACTTGGAGCCATTTGGTTAAGCAATCTGAATAATGAAGAAGTTGAAAGCACTCTTGTTGGGTAAGTCACTGTGGCATCGGGGGAATGTGGAATGACACAGCTGCTTGAAATGAATCATTTTCAAAGCTCATTATCAAATAAATGTGGGCTATATTAAAGACAAACTGAAGAAGTACACTGAGCAGAAAGAACATCAGAGAATGTAGAGGTAGGAAAAATAGTAATAATCTTTGTGTTTGATATCGCGCTTTTCACGTCAGGAGGACATATAGAGGGACTGTTAGTCAGGACACCTGGCAAAACTCTTCTGTTTTTGAATAGTGCCAAGGGATCTTAAACGTCAACCTGAACAGGAAAACGGGACCTCAGTTTAATGTTTCATTCAAAGGACAGCACCTCCAACAATGCAGCACAACCCCAGCACTATATTGCAGCGTCACCCTAGAAATGGGTGTACTGTGTTATGTATAATGCTCATATATTGTTGGAGTCCTGTAGCTCAGTGGTTAAAGCACTCGCCTTGCAAGCGAGAGACCTGGGTTCGATTCCAGGCAGGGCGAAACCTTGGGCAAGTTTCCTTGCTCCACACGCCTGATAATAATCCCTCCAAAAACAATAATAAATTGGTCATTTTCAATCCATGACTGTTTGTGGGACACTGCTGTGCGTAATTGACCGCCGCGTTTCGCCCAGAAAATATACAGTCTATTCACTTTACAGCATATTCTGTGAAGTGCTTTGAGACGTCTAGAAGACGTGAAAAGCACTATATCAAATGCAAGGATTATTATTATGTTCATATACTCTTATATATTGTAAAGATATACAATAGTTTTAATGCAACAACTTTCTGAAATTTACATTTATTGCAGGGAACTGCAACAGGTCTTTGACTGACAATAATTCACCAATGAAACAGAACACAGTATTTTCAAGCCCAAGAACCAAACTCAATGGCAAAAACAAATTGAATGCCATGGACAACAATATCGATATTTTAGAAATTAATGGCAAACTTTGGCATAATACAAAACTCCTGCCAGGTAGGTCTCGCAGATGAACTCATTGATTCATAATTGCTTTATGTTTAAAAGCCTTTCATCTGAGAGAAATCTTCAAGGCATGCAAGTCAGGGAATTGCCAGCATAAATTTTAAAAAGTTTGCAATACATCCCTGTTGGGACAATTGGATGTTTCCAGATTTGAGTGACAAGTTAATAACTCAGAGGCTATCCGTTAATTGTTATGATTACTAGCAAAGCTTTTGACTTGCACTCAGAAAATTAAACCAAACAGAAGGGGGTTGCCTACACAAGCACGAGATTTTTCAGTAAAATTTTTGAAGCACTTTGAGACATCTCGACGATGTGATAAAGTGCTATATCATATTGCAACAATTTTTTTTATTATAAAAGATAGTTTAGAACAACCGATTTAAACATTTCCAAATCAGAAAATTTGATAGCCAAATTGTTCTTTATTTTAGCAGTGACATAGATCAAATTCGGAGCAAACAATCCATTAAACCTCATCAGAAAAAACTAACGACAGAAACAAGATGGATTAGATCCACAACCAAGTGGACTGGCTTTTAGGATTGAAGAATGTATGAGCAATTTTGTTTGCACAATCGATATCTGACACACATGGAAACAAATGAGTAAAAGCATCTGACTTAAAATATGTGATCACAGAATTCCAGGCATTGTTTCAGTTTGTGACCATTCAGTATCACAAACTGTTGGATTTTCTGCTCTAAAGCACTAAAAAATATTCTTTTTTCTTCTATGTAGTGGAAGACATCAAGGAGCTTATTGAACAGAAAAGATATTTGAAGGCTGACCAACACCTCATCAAGTTAGAATATCAGTGTTACAGTTCTGATAGCATAGAGAAGGATGAAGATAAACTTAAAATGGAGCAGGAAGTTGAATCTTTGTATGAACATCTTGACTCTGCAATCACCACAGTGTTAAAAACATCCATGAGCATTTCCAAGGAAAATCCTGACCTCCTGAAAATGGTGGTACAATTCAGAATCCAGGAGGAGAAAATGGATCAGACCTACCAAGAGGAAGCGAAAAGAAAGTCTGGAAGAATCCCTAAAGCCAGGCCAAGAGGGTGGAAAAATAAATGGCTGAATATTCTACAGCAGTCTGTGGATGAAAGAATAAGTAAAATACCCAATGCTTCGGAAGACAACAAAATAAATTGGGTCATTCAGTGTTTAGGACAGCTTCTCAAAGAGCTCAAGGAGGATGTGGACACTATTGTGAATCACGTCAAACCATGTTATCCTGAAGATTACAATATTTGCAAAACATATGCAGACTGCTATCAAAAGACAATTTCTTCTCGGCTCACAGTAATCACGGAGAATGAATTAAAAGGGAAAGATCTGTACACACTTTTGCGTTGGATTTATGTTCACTATCCAGGGTAAGAATAAGCTATAAATAATATGTGACTGTAAGCCCTAGTAGCAATAGATACGTTTAAAGTCCGGCAATTTCTGTATGCAACTTGTTATATCTTTTTTGAAAAAGAAAAATCCCTGGGGAAAAAAGATAGATAGATAGAAAGCTGTGCCTAGTTCGGAAAAACAAAGCAATACAGTATTTCTAACACACATGTGAGAGAAAGCTGCCGTGCTTTACCAGGGTCAGCTTTTGCATATATAAACACATTTGCGTTAAACTGGGTAAATTGAATGCCAGCACAGTGTCGACCAATTACTGAGAAAGGAGAACCTGTTTTAGTGGGAGTCTATATCCTTTTATCCAATAGAGCAGTTGTGCAACAGTTCATGTTTCCTGCATATTTGCATGTTTGGTATTGTAACATTATATTACTTTAGGAATTTAGGGTTTCGAAATAACTTGTTTTAATTGTTTAGAGTCATGAGCACTCTCACACAAACGGAGGATGCAGACCAGAAACTTTGGAGGGATCTGTTGTCACAAGAAATGATCAACCAGATGGAAAATGGTTATATTTCAGCTGTACAGGTAAGGACTTTTATTTTAACATATCTAAAATAGAGTTTCAATCAAATGGCTGAGAATTGGTTGCTGGAACTTTCTATTCATGTTCTCTCCCTGCAATATTTTATGGATGACATTTTCCTGATGTTAATTGTGGTTTCACTTTGAACCCTGTTTTTCATATGATTTTTGTTTTTATTTTAGACAGATGCTAAAGCGTACATGAGCAAAAGTCTCCAGATGGAAGAGATGAACTGGATAAATGGCAAAGAGCCTTTGATGTTTCAGGATTGTTATCACAGTGAGCTGCCTATTGATATAATACAGGTAACTGAAGTGAAAGTATTTTTAAAAATCCATAAAATATTTCTCTCTTATTTATATTTTAGAGGGGGTGGGGGGGTATTTAATAATGTATGTCCAATTATTTTTTTCTAGTTTTCTCCCCTATGACAAATTCCTTTGCTCCTAATCTTGGATTCAGTTCCATGTTACCCTGCCAAGTGTGAGCCTTGACAACGTTTTTTCCCCATGTGTTACACTTAAGCAAAATAAATAAAAGTTCTTACAAAAATGTAAGCTGCAAACCTTTTCAGTTTGTATAACTTCTGGCTATGATCGCTTGGTATCTGGGTACTGGAATCTGTTTTATAATAATCCTTGCATTTGATATAGCGCTTTTCACTTCGGGAGGACGTCCCAAAGCGCTTAAGAACATAAGAATTTGCTAGGCAAAAGAAGACCAAGGTCCATCTAGTTCACCTTGCACCATCCTGGCAGTCACTTGACATGTCATGTCCCAAACTATATACTGTATCCCAAGATATTATTCTCTAGCAGAAATCTATCTAATGGGTTCTTGAAACAAACAACATTTTCTGCACCACGGTCTCCACAGGGAGCCTGTTCCATATGTTTACTTTCACAGTTTCTGGCCTGCACAAACTTGCTCACTGAAGAAGTGTTTTCAATTTTACTTTTCCTGTTGGTGTGTTGACTGACTACTCTGAACAATTTTTCACTCGAGTATGTCATTTATATGTATTTATATACAACGAAAATATGTGTTGTTTTATCTGCTAGATCTTTGATGGAGGTGCCCGAGAGGCCAGTTGTCTCACTCCTGATCTGAATAATCGAGTATTGGGTATTATGCTGGACGAAATGATGTGCTTCCTGGAAAGGTAAAATTAACAAGCAGTGAATAATGATCTGATACAGGGTTCCACGAACATTGTTTTAAGTATTTTTAACAAGCTATTTCCTAGTATAAACATCTGGTCCTATATAAACATGCACCATTGGTTTTACTAAAGCTGTGTTTATGGAAAACAACGACTTTGCAAGCGAGAGACCTGAGTTCATTTCCAGGCAGAGGGCGAAATCTTGGGCAAGCTTCCTTACTCCACACAGAGCCTAATAATAATCCCTCCAAAACCAAAACCAATAATAAATTGGTCATTTTCAATCCACGACTGTTTGTGGGACATTGCTGTGCGCAATTGGCTGCCGCGTTCGCCCACAAATATACAGTCAATTCACTTTACAGTGTGTTCTGTGAAGCGCTTTGGGACGTCCTCCCGACATGAAAAGCGCTATATCAAATGCAAGGAGTATTATTATTATAACAAGATTGCATTTATAGAGCGCCTGTCACGTCGGGAGGACGTCCCAAGGCGCTGGACAGTTGGGTTGGAACCCGAGCAGGGGGGAAATGATCAGGGTGAGGGGAGGGAAGGGAGGAAACGAGGAGGGGGTAGAGAGTCGAGAGGGGAGGTGAAGGCACGGTTGAAGAGAAAGGTCTTGAGACCGGCCTTAAAGGAGGAAAGGGAGGAAGCGACGAAGGCACTGGGGGATGGAGTTCCAGAGCCTTGGGGCTGAGAGGCTGAAGGCCCGGCCACCGATGGTAGGGCGGTTGGGAGCGGGGGATGTGCAGCAGACCGGAGCCAGAGGAGCGGAGGGTAAGGGCAGGTAGGTAGGGGGATAGTAGGTCGGAGAGGTAGGAGCGAGGCCGTGAATGGCCTTGTAGGTGAGGATGAGGATCTTGAATTCGATCCTCTGGGGGATGGGGAGCCAGTGGAGGGGAGCGAGGGTGGGAGTGATGTGGTTGCGGTGTCTGGTGCGGGACAGTACACGAGCTGCAGAGTTCTGAATGACCTGCAGCTTGTGGAGGGAGGTGGCGGGAAGGCCGGCGAGGAGAGAGTTCCCATAGTCCAGCCTTGAGGTGATAAAGGCGTGGACCAGAGTTTCAGCAGCGTGAAGGGTGAAACACTGATGACAATCTTGCCCAGCTTTCAGTGTCTGAAAGGCTACAGATGGCAATGGTGTGTGAGACACATAACCTCATATTGTAAAAGAAAATAAATGCATAACTTTAACCTCCTGAAGATATTTTTTTAAAAATTCTAGAGGATCTATTACAGAAGTAACTGAAAGCTAAAATCACATCAGGGAATGACTGAAGAAAGTTTTGACCTCACTAGAAAAGCATCCCAACCAAACCATCAGCATAATCCTCAATTTCCAGCATTATTCTGCTTTTGCACAAAATGTTTACTTTCAGTCTGTCCAATCATATTAAAATAAACATTTGCAGAGGAGGAAAAACAAGCTTCAAATCTTTGTTTTTGTAGAATATTTTCACAGTTTCTGGCCTGCACAAACTTGCCCAGGAATGCAAACGAAGCCTAGTCTATTAAGAAGCTTAGTCAAACAAGTCAGTACATTATGATGATCCACAAAAGCAATGTTGAAGATCCTACCATATTATTCATTCTTGAATACTTTTACATTCACCATATGTTTTGATGGTACAACAAATAATGTGACACATTTTACGGTATTTTTCAGCTTCCAGGAATCAGTGAAATGCTTTGAGAAAACTTATCTGGACCATGAGAATTTCATTTCAACTATGATATTGGTTAACAATATCTGTGAATCTTTCAGGTGAGTTTGTTTGTCAGGAGTTTGAGTTAGACACATTAGGGCTCTTTAATCTTGGGAGAAGATTTCTCAAAGGGGACTTTATAGCGGTGTATAAAATGCATACTTTAGGACTCACCATGACAATAGATAAATTAGATAGATTTAGAGTTGCAAAGGGCAATTTCAGGGCAGCTTTTCTCTACCCAGAGGTTAATCCATGACTTGTACAGTTAGCCAGGAAGCTACTCAGACATACAAAACTCAACTGCATACTAATTGCTCAAACTGAATCCATGACTGATAATGTGATTTCAGGAATTAGCTATATATTAAGGAGATCTGCAATTTTCAAGGCGCAGGAGTCCTATAGCTCAGTGATTAGAGTAGCCTCCTTGCGAGCAAGAGACCTGGGTTTGATTCCCAGTAGGGCAAAATGTTGGGCAAGTTTCCTTACTCCACACGCCTCTGTTTACCTAGCAGTAGACAGGAACCTGGTTGTTAGTCGATTGGCGGATCGTTTTTCCGAGGGTAATAATTCCTTTTTGAGCTGTGGGCAGAGCGGAAACCCGATTGGAGGGACTCATGGAGGGAGTGGGAGGAGAGGAAAGAGTGAAGCTGGGAGGCAACGGCTCTCTCAAGGACCTTGGAAAGGGAGGTTGGGAATGGGCCGGTAGCTGGATAGCTGTATTGTGATGAATGTGTATTGTACAGTACATATGAAGACTGAGACAGCATAAATCTCACTGGAACATGCTCAACAACAGCTGAAGAAAATGGTTCCAGGAAGCACTTTGATTTGCTTTGGTGCAGCATAAACGTGGCCAGGCAAAGATCAATTCTATGAAAACATTCAAGGAGCCAATTTAAATTATTAAAGAATTGTTAAGAAAAGTATTTTAAACCACTTCCACATATTTATTCCAAACGATACTTTGGAACTGTTTTTGGATGTGCTGGAAACCGTTTTATCGAGTAACATCTTTTACATCTAATTGCTTTCAGGGAGTACCTCAACAAAAATGGCAAGATCACAAATGAGGTCAAGGAGAATGCCCTGTCAATTCTGAATAAAATGGAAAAGAACGGAAAAGACGTTTTGCAAAAGTCCCTGTTTTGTGAATTAAAGGTATAGTAAGAACAAGCCACAGCCTTTCGTTTTCCCCTCCAGCATCTGCTTCCACTTGAAAAATTAAAAATATTGAAAAATATTAATATCCTTTGGATGAGACATTAAAATGAGGTCCTGTCTGCCTTGAAAGAGAAGGGAGTTTCTTCTGGTGTCCTGGCCAACAATTGCCCGAATTAAATTGGGTTATTTACTTCACCCTTTGTTGCACTATTTTACAGTATATCCTGTGAAACGTTTTGAGAAGTCTCAATGCCACGATAAGACGCTATAAAAATTAAAGGATCATTGTTATTTTTGGTTTAATTTCTGACTCTGCATTCCACACGATAAAATTGCATTTCAGCACTCTGCAATATTTAATCTGGAAAATAGCTTTTAAAAAGTTTCCTTTATGATAATAAGTCTTAAAAAAAAATGACCATGGGAAGCAATTTCTAAAGAGTAGTTGGCCGGAGAAAATGTTGACATTTGTTACAGACCATATTTTGAAGGGAAAGATTGTTTTCAATTGAAACAATTTGACTCCCAATGAAATAAATCTTTTTTCCTTTGTTCCGCAGCCTTACTGCAAGTTCTTGATAACCGAGAAATGGGTTTCACATCCAGAGCCTATAAATAACATACTAGAAATAACACAAAGACAACTGATAAAGTTCAGGAAACTGAAAGCCCAGCAGTTTCAGGTATGGAACAGATAACTCCATCTTCTGTTCAAATGTGTTCTTCTTTACCTTCTTAGAGTTCAGCATTGAATATGGCACGTGAGGCTTATAAACCATTACGTTACCTGGTTAGACTGTTAGAAAACATTAGAAAATGTCCATCGGGCTGACATCCTGCTCTTTAATTCTGTTCAGTGATCTTTCCTGCAAATTGAGCATATGGGCAACAATAGACACCAAAAGGTTAAACCTGCAACATTTTGCATCAAGTTAAGATAATTAGCCAATGAGCAAATGGAAAGATTAGGGGAATTGTTTCCATGCACAGAATGGTTAGGATATGCAATTCCCTGCCAGTCGCAGCGATTGAGGCGGAAACACCCTTAGCTTTTTGGAATAGTGCCATGAGATCTTTATTGTCCACCCGAACAAGGTGACAGGAATTTGGTTTAACATCTCATCCGAAAATCAGCACTCCTCCTGACACTGCAGGACTCCCCAGGGTTGCGTTGGAGTGTCAGCCTTGAGCTCCTAGAAAGGGAGGGCATCCCAAAGAGCTGAAACAAGCGTCGATCAAGCAGAGGAAAGCAAAATGGCCGCTAAATTGACCAGCACTGTACTGTACCGCACCATAACACACAAAGGTCCTATATCACTTTCTGTAATAATTGTTTCGCTTATGGCAGTGCTCAAATTAGATTATTGACCAAGTGCAACTCAGAAGTGAGCGTGCAAAGAACTAAGCCAAGCTGACATTCGTTTTTTTTTGTTTATAAACAGGGCCTGTTGGAAGAAATCCATGAGCAACTCATTGCAGAATATATTTCGAGAATTATGAAAAGGAAGTTGAGCTGCAAAACAGAAGATCAGCAGAAAGCGTTTGCCAATCAGCTGGAGAAAGAAGATCATCAGTTACAGGAACTCTTTAGTGTCAACGTAAGTAAAATCAATTCTGTCTGATACTATAAAACCAGACTGTGCAATAAATCACCCTTTGGTATTTACTATTCTCTTTGCATCCAACAAACTGTTTTTCTTTTCCATTTAACCAGGGGTCTCGTGCTGTTGGGCTGGCCACTGCCCTCCCATATATAAGTGAAATCATCAGGCTCCAAGATGTCAATGCAATAAAGATGGAAGTTGGGGCTCTCATTCAAGAATTTCCAGACATCAGGTGAGAGGAGCCAAAGGGAGGATGTCCCAAAGCCGTGAAACAAGCCTCGAGCAAGCAGAGGTCATGCTGTTGATGTGATGTATGAACGATATGACAATAAAGCTACACCACAACATGTTCGGAAAACGCGTGTGACAGATCACACAAAGCGAGTGATTTTCGTGGGCTTTATTCAATTTCTTATGTGAAGCATAAGTGGAAGTGGCCATATCTGAAAAGCAAAATAGCCACTAAATTGAACAGCACTACTATACCACACCATAACATACAAAAGGTCCTATATTATTTGTTTTGCTTATGCAGTGCTAAAATTAGATTATTGTACAAATCTCTCAACCTAACTAAATGCTCACGCTCCACAGAAAACAACACGTCGCAGCTATCTTGTACATTAAAAAGAACATGAAGAAATCAGATGAAAAGGATATTCTTCACATCATCAAGGAACTCCTGAACTATGGTACAGATTCGTCCACAAGCAAGACATTGTTCTCCAATGCCGCAGTTTTGAAGACACTCTAAGAATCACTGAACAATCAAATAATTATGTACTTAAGCACAGTTACATTGCAATTATTATTATTAATAATAATATTAATTTGTGGAGTCCTGTAGTTCAGTAGTTAGAGCACTTGCCTTGCAAGCGAAACTCTTGGGTTCAGTTCCAGGCAGGGTGTAACCTTGGGCAAGTTTCCTTAGTCCACACAGAACCTAATAATGATCCTTCCAAAACAAAACAATAATAAATTGGTCATTTTCAATCCACGACTGTTTGTGGAACGCTGCTGTGCGTAATTGGCTGCCGAGTTTCACTCACAATTATACAGTCAATTCACTTTACTGTGAAGCACTTTGATACGTCTAGAAGACATGAAAAGCGCTATATTAAATGCAAGGATTATTATACTATTAAGTTCAATAACATTACCTCTGACCACTGTTATAAGGTCATTCTGTCTATTCTGCCTGCCTTCCATCCCTATTTTCCCTTTCACCTCTTCATTCATTCGATCGTATCATTCATTTTGAAGTATTCTATTTGTCTTTAACTAAACGTTACTTGCCTTCACCGACTCAGCATCCATTTTGGACTCCTTGGGATCTACTATGTTTTGAAATCGGTACATGATTGGCTGAATGTTTGGATCAAAGGGTCTATTTTTAGCCAATTGTCATTGATCTCATTTTAGAATGACTTGACCACATAACCAATGTGACAAGTTAAAGCTTTTGTCATTTTTTTATGGGGAAACAAACCAGGTGCAACAAAAGCTAAATATACAACTAGGTAATAACATACCACTTTATTGGATTTCACCCGACGCGGTTTTATAATGGTTTTCATTTTAATAATTCCAGATTATTCTTAAATTCAACTCACACTCCCAATGCCTCTGTTCCTGATAGAGTAAATGTAAAACAATGTTACTGTGACCTCCAAACTTATTGGGGCCTACTCAGATAGTATTTGTCTCTTGAGTTCACCTCGACCATATGCAGCTGAGTAGAGCAAGAATTAATGTCTAAAGTGCCTATTGAGCACCTTTTGAGCCAAGGTGCATCCTTCGAAATAATATGATGCAAACAATTTCTAGTCCGATCAAACTTAACAATCCAAAGTAACCAGTCAAGCACAAAACCACTAAAGATGAACACAAAACTGTTACAGTATTATTTTATGTACACCCAGCTTGTATAGTGTAATTTACTTGTATTGTCTGGAAGCTGCTATATAAATAAATGTATTCTACAGGGATATGAATGTTTGATGTAATGTTTCACGATTTAAGTAGAAGATAAAAATGAGATACAAAGTTAGCCTTATACTTCAGCTAAAAGGAAATGAAGTTTTTTGGCAGTCAATCGGGTTTCTGACACATGGGGAAACCCATCAACGTGCTTAAGAGTATCCAAACCAAGCTGAGATTTCAACACATCACACCCACACTAGGAGATCCCACAATGAAGTAATCATGAAATATGCAACAGTATATGTTTTCTATATAGATGTAGATCTAATAGTGTGTATACAGTACTGTATCTCCACAAACGGCTTCTCCTCCAATCCCCGCACTGTCTTGTGCTGTGTTCCTCAGGGCTCTGTCCTTGGTCCTCCCGTCTTCAACACGTATCATGCTCCCTCTTGGTGACATCAGTGGAGTCCTGTAGCTCAGTGGTTAGAGCACTCGCTTTGCAAGCGAGAGACCTGAGTTCAATTCCAGGCAGGTCAGGGCGAAACCTTGGGCAAGTTTCCTTACTCCACACAGAGCCTAATAATAATCTCTCCAAAACCCAAAACAATAATACATTGGTCATTTTCAATCTACGACTGTTTGTGGGCCATTGCTGTGCGCAATTGGCTGCCGCGTTCGCCCACAAATATACAGTCAATTCACTTTACAGTGTGTTCTGTGAAGCGCTTTGGGACGTCCTCCCGACATGAAAAGCGCTATATCAAATGCAAGGATTATTATTATTATTATCATCCGCAGATGGGGTCAACTTCCACATGTATGCGGATGATACCCAACTCTGTCTGCCTCCACCTTTGACTCCAGGACCACTGGTGTCCTGACAGCATGTCTATCAGACTTCAAGTCCTGTATAAGAGCTAAGTTTCTCCAGTTGAACGTCAACAAGACCGAGGCCCTCCTGATTGGGTCCTGTCAGCATCCCCATGTCTCAGGCTTGTCAGCCTTCCTAACATTTCCCTCCACAATCTGCAGATCAACAGATTGTCCCCCACCTTTCCCACCCCACCTCTAAACCCCCACCCTCTGGAACTCCATCCCACAGCCTCTCTGCCTGGCCCCCTCCCTTGCCTCCTTCAAGACCCGTCTCAACAGCCTCCTTTTCGACTATTCCTTCGGTCAATCTCCTACCCCTACCCTCTCCACCCTCCACTCCTCCTGATCCCAATCACCATCTCGGGTGTGGATCCCTAACTGTTCAGCACCTTGGGATGTCCTCCTGATGTGAAAGGTGCTATAAGTATAAATGTAACGTAATTTGTTGTTCTAAAGGTGCTCAATGAGGTATTGAAACTATAATGCTATCCAATTCACTGCTGTACATGAGAAGTATAACCAACTTTTTTGAATTCCATTTTCTTTCATCAATGTTTTGCCCTTTCTTTCCTCTGCTGTTATAGAAAGTCACTCATGATTGGATAAAATGCCATAACCCTCCCAAGTTTTTTTTAAAAACATTTTAACGTTTAAACTTTTTACAAGTTAAAAGATTGTGTGTTTAAGAGCCCTTGCAATCATTAAATATAGACAACTCATACACAAGCACTCTGAGAATAATATACACTGATATTCTTCAGAAGGAAAGTTAAATTGTGCATTTATACCCAAGTTTAAGGGAAATAGTAACTCAGTTGTGTCTAGACTTTACGTACGTATACATGAGACGAGGAATTGAGACATGAAAAGCTAGTAAGTTGACCTTCAATTTTCTCTCCGAGGTGTGTCAGTGTGTAAACTATTCCTATGCTTTCAGCTAGTGCTTAACAGTGCTCAGATGTCTATTCTAGTCTAGCTTATCAACTGCATTCATCAGACTCCTGATGCACTTGTAAAACAGATGATTTCCTGGAAATGTGGAGAAGCTGGTCGGTGGGGGTGGGGGAGCGGGGGAAATCCAGTCATTTATTCCTGAAATTCTACTTAGGCATGTTAAGCTGCATATCAAGACACAACATGAATCTTATTTAATGCAGCCAATTTGGCTTTCATGCTGCTTGTGCCTATTGGTTGCTGTATTAAAATTATTTTGCATTGCTTCACATGCTTTACATTGCCAGACAAACTCTGCAAGGGTTTTCACTCTGAAAGTTAAAAGCTGTGCTTAGTCTCGCTTGTGACAAGTGTTCCGTGGGTACGCAATACATATTCTTCATCCAGTTCTAAGACACCATTTCTCAAGTAGAGTTTGTTTCTGTACTGAAGGCAGAGATTCTCTCTATTTTCTCCTGTTAGTGTTGCAAGCCGAGGTCCAAATGGTGTTTGCAGCTCAAGAAGCAGCAGGCAGGCAGCTTGCCAGACAGTACATTTAAAGGCAAACTATGCAGTTTGAGCTGGTTAAATTCCAGGAGTATCCCCAAAGCTTTGTGTGAGATCCACAAGCCTGGTCTCTTACTAACTTACATTGAATACTCTCTGGAATTTGTTTTTTGGCAGAGTTAGTAAAATGCAATAGCGAGCCTACCCTCATGACTCAGTTACTTGTTGGCTTCCATGCCCTGGGCCAGACTCCACTCTGCTCTGAAAATCCATTGAAATCCCCTCCTCGCCGACCTAACCTAGTTGGGGTGGGGGCTCGGCGTGATGTACAGCAGTCAATCCGTGATCACTCCAGGCCCACACCGACCAGGGGACCATTCAACCAATAGATGCGCCGCCAGAGTGGGACATATGCCCACTGAGTTCGGTTGCTCGGGGACTCACTGCTGGTTTCCCAGCTGGTTTGAGGAGCTCGAGCCATATTCGCAACACCAGCAGGGGCCCCGGAATCAAGCTTTATTTGGGGCCCCTGTGGGGCAAACACTGGCCCTAGTCAACCAAGTGTCTAACACATACGATGGAAAATAAGTTGATAAGGAGCTATATCAAATGCAAGGATTATTATTATTATTAGACAAAAACCCATCCAAATTGGACTGAGAGTTATGCGTATCCAAAACACCTATCATTTTCCAGGGTGTGTAATGGCATGCAGACTCTCTCCCTGGAGGAAATAATAATAATAATAATCCTTGCAATTGATATAGCACCTTATCACGTCTTCAAGAAGTCTCAAAGCGCTTCACAGAATATACCGTAAAGCGAATTGACTGTATACTTTGTGGGCGAATGTACCCTGCTTACCTAATTGCATCGGTAAACACTGCATCACAAAATTCCACTCTTGTGGTTGTATTATAATCATTTATTAATTCAATTACCTTGTAGAAGAGGTTCACAATTCCCAAAAGGTTTGGAAAGTCCAATAAAATGCAAGAAGTGTTACTGGAGCACCAGCAATTATCAGTTGGACACCACTTGCTTTATTTGGAAAGTCCTTGCATTTTAATTTGCAGCCAATTGCACACAGCAGTATCCCAAAACAGTCGTGGATTGAACATGACCAATTTATTATTGTTTTTGTTTTAAAAACATATCATGGCATGCAATATTCTTAGAGGCATTTGTGTCAGCATAAGAGAGATAGTATTGTTTATACTTGATCCTGATGCAAATACCTGATTGTAGCTAGGAGTGTCTCACTGCTTGATTCGTACATAGAAAATGTGTGGCTCAGGAAATGTTCTTTCAATTGTGTCAAGTGTCAAACAGCCACTGTGGAAAACCAACAGGAAATATGGTGTGTGATATGCTACTATGCCCGTTGAGACTGCCAAATCCATGCAAACGTATGGTGAATCCAATAACATGCAAGAATCGTGTTAATGGAACACCAGCAATTATCAGTTGGACACCACTTGCATTATTTGTTCACTGCTGAATTCAGTGTGAAAATCCTGTAACGAGAAGGCACCAAAAGTCTCCACTGTCAATTCTGATTCTGCTGAAATGGCCAATGTTTGACAAGTCGACTTGTAAATTCTTCTGTTCATTTACAACCTTCAGTGCTATCAATGGCAAGCTATGTGGTTTTAGCTGGTTAGACTCCATCAGTATCCCAAAGCACACACTGAGGTCCCAAAGTCTTGGCTGTTGCCAACCCGCCCTAATATTGTCCATAATTAGATAAATGGGATACATCCTTCCAGGGACAGAGTGCTCATTCAATTCCAACAATCTATCTCTGGGATTTCTATGTGTAGGTGGGATGCATGGAATTCTTAGTTTGGTTTGGATACAGCATGGTAATGGGTTTCCGCATGTGTCAGACACCAAAAAAAAACCCGACTACCTTTACCTATCAGTAGAATTCTAACTCTCCCATGGTTATTTAATGCATTTTAAAAAAAATATTTTTGCCTAACGCTCAATTAGCTGCACAGTTTGCTTATCGGTAATGGAGCCAGTCCCAATTAATGTGAAATCTGCACTCTACTGTATCTGTATTCATCAATAAAATGACAGTTGTTGTTAGCAGCTTTGATGATCCACAGTAAATTCTGATTCACCAAATTTACCCAGGGTTTCGGACTAACTACCCACCCTGATTTGTGATACATATTGAAGACCCCCACCCTGCAGGTAAAAATGCATTGCACGTGAGGAGGTTATCACATTTACCGCATGTGAGATGATTAAAAAAAACTGATCTCTGTTCAGCTGCAAAGGAAAGATAAATTAACCCCAAATAGACGTTTTATGTGAATCTCTGGAAAGTTTTTGTGAAACTCTGGAAAGTCCCCGAATATGTAATGGAATCTGACTCTAATACACGTGATGAAATTATAGTATGTCCTAACTGGTTAGACTCCAGCTGTACCCCCAGCGCATTAATACTGAGCTGAAGCATAAATACTGCCCCACTTCAGAGGAAACGAGTGCAATTCGGAACTGAAAAATTAGCAACGTTAGAACAGTCATCGCAAGGCTGGGTTGGAACCTAATTCTCAGCACTCGTTCTCAATCAGGCATTGTGCTGGTTTGCTTGTTTTCCTGTATGTAGAAACTAGGTTTTTAAATAGATTTTCCTTAAAGCTGTTCTTTATTGATAGTGTCTCTCCCACACCCGTGTTATTCTACTGACGGATGCAAGTAATTTTACTCAAAGGTGGACTTAACCTTTTAACTCTTAAATTCGGAGAACGGGAGATTAGTTGTTTAATATTGTAAATGAAGACCGATTATTTAATATTGTAGATTAAAATATTTGAAACTAAATGTTCACAACTAAAACAATGTTCTGAAATGTTTCCCCCCCAAAAAAAAACAACCCCATAATATACGATATCAACACCTAGAGAAACAATGTAATGTAATTAACCATTAGTTTTCCTATATCAATGAAATCCCTGTAAGGTGCCATCTCGAATTGCTTCACTGCTAATTGTTAGATATATTTACAAATCTGTTTGCAAGGATATGTTTTAAGTTAAAACATCGCTCTTTCGTTACCCCACATATTGAACAGTGAAGAACACTGTACAATACTGTAGAAAAATGTTGAACAGCACAACAACTCAATTGACTGCAGCCTATCTTGGCCATTCTTAACATGCTTTAACGATGTGACATTTGCATTTGTAGCAGGTGAGCAATAACAATAACAGCCATATCTGAACACCACTGAAGACTCTTGAAGAATGGGCAACAGGCTGAGTACCAGGACACATAGGAAGGACATATCCAATTGTCTTCGACACATTTTGCATTGCATATGCCCTTGCATATTTTTAAACACAGAGAAGGAAGATCCACAAGGTGGCGTCCCACAAGGTGATGGAGTCCACATCCCTCTGAAGTCACGTAAGTTTTATCCTGAAAAATGTTTCAACCAATTCTCTCACAGAATTGGAACATGGAAGTGTAGGGCTACTGGTTCATTTGTGGAGTCCTGTAGCTCAGTGGTTAGAGCACTCGCTTTGCAAGTGAGAGACCTGAGTTCAATTCCAGGCAGAGGGCGAAACCTTGGGCAAGTTTCCTTACTCCACACAGAGCCTAATAATAATCCCTCCAAAACAAAAAAAATAATAAATTGGTCATTTTCAATCTACGATTGTTTGTGGGACATTGCTGTGCGCAATTGGCTGCCGCGTTCGCCCACAAATATACAGTCAATTCACTTTACAGTGTGTTCTGTGAAGCGCTTTGGGACATCCTCCTGACGTGAAAAGCGTTATATCAAATGCAAGGATTATTATTATTATATTATTATTGTGCAGGCAAGGTTTGAAAAAGAGTAATAGAGGAGAACAATCCAAAGAATAATGATGCCAACTTAGGTTCTAATAAACCTAGAGCGTATTAGGAAGAGGATACTTCCTAGGCGTCAGTTCGACCCCAATTATCCTTCCTCCCCCACATCCAGTCCCTCACCAGCACCGCCTTCCACCTCTGACGCATCACCTGTTTTATCACCTGACAAGCTTTTCCTGCCTATGAGTCTGACCAGTCACCTGTTTTACATTGGAGATTATTGGCCAAGACAGTGGCAGAAACTCCCTCCTCTTTTCAAATGTATTTATTTATTATTATTTATGCTGATCCATAGAAATAAATTGCCTATAAAATCTTATCCATTTATTTTACAATTCCATCAAATATATGCATTTTATTAAAAGCAGAAGGCTGGTTAAACTCCATCAGTGTCTCTGGGGTCCCCAAGTCTTGGCTCTTGTTACAGCTTTGATTCAAGAACTAAAAACTTTACCCCAGATTAGAAGGCAGGAGACCACGAGCAGAGACATATAACAATGGGGAGAAAAGTACAAAAATAATTTAACCTAATAATTTGTGCCTAAAGTCTCTGGGAATAGATAAGGAGAACACCATTCCAGGGAGAGAGTGCACACTTTATACCAAACAAATGGAAATGTCTGTATGCATATGGGACCATGTGTAGTTTAGTTTGGATATTTGTAAGAATAGTGATGGGTTTCTATGTATCAGACACTGGAATGACCAAGAAAACAATCTACTATAGTCTACAAAGTGCAATGATTCATATCAATCCATTTCTTTCGCAGCAGAACTGAAACCGAATATCAAGGAACTTATTAAAGTAGAAAAATACTCTGAAGCCTACGAACACCTCATCGAGTTAGAATCAAGGTGTTACAGTTCTGATGCCAAAGAGAAGGATGAAGATAAACTTAAAATGCAGCAGGAAGTTGAATCTTTGTACGAACTGCTTGACTCTGCAATTACCACAGTGTTAAAAAAATCCATGAGCATTTCCCAGGAAAAGCCTGACCTCCTGAAAATGGTAATTCAAGTCAGAAACCAGGAGGAGAAAATGGATCAGATCTACGTACAGAAAGACGTAGGAAAATCTGGAAGAAATCCACGAGGGTGGAAAAGCAAATGGCTGGAGATCCTACAAGAGTCTGTGGATGAAAGAATAGGTGAAATACCCAATGCTTCTAAAGCCAGCAGCTATTTAGAACAGCTTCTCAAACAGCTCAAGGAGGATGTGGACATTATTATGAAACACGTCAAACCATGTTATTCCAAAGAATATAATGTTTGCAAAATATATGCAGACTGCTATCAAAAAACTATTTCTTCCCAGTTCAAATTAATCATAGAGAATAGAGTAACAGAGAACGATGCTTATGTACTTCTGAGGTGGATTTATGGTCACTACCCAGGGTAAGTCACAGTGGTTCTGTGTGTAATGTAAACTTTAGTAAAGTTGTATTAAAGTAACTTTTAAGGGCAAGCAAATTGTATACGTTGCATCTAAAAAAAACTGAATACTGTGTAGAGTTATTGATTGCAAGTGAATCTGACAAGTGGTCTATTGCAAATGTTCCACCATCATAGTTTAGTCTGCAGTGAAAAATACCTACTGCATTTGGGTGGAGAGGGGAGGGCAGATGGGTAAATAGAATCGTATTTCAGTATGTGTTAATGTCTTCATTTTCACGAGACTTATGCTAAGAGAAAAATATTATGACTGTGAGCTATATTTTAACAAATGATTTGTTTTACTCTTTGAAGAAATTTGAATCAATGCAGCTTGTTACGGTCAAATAGAAATCTGTAGAGGAAAAACATAAGAAAGGTGGTGATTAAGGAAATTGGCAGTTGTGATGGTTCACAGAGAGTCCAACATGTTATACAATATGTCTTCTGGGCATTATCCTGAATTTATTCCCAAAGGAGAATGTTCCCCTTTCATTTCTGTTTATGAAGAAAAACGTTTGGATGGCAATCATGAAAAGTATTAAAGACTGCAAGTATGGCTGCAGTGCTAAAAGATTTTTTTTAAAACAACATTGTATTGCAAAATAATCTGGAAAAAATCTCCCTTGTTAAATCTTTGGTTCCCTTTCCAACGGTACTCAGCATTTTTGAATGCCAGATACATATAATTTGCGAACTAATGGAAAACTTGATTCAATCTTCTGACTCTGTTATAGTTTGATATTCCAAACCAAGAATAAGACATAATTTCCTGAACTTTGGATGAAATGTATGATTTTATATTCCCATAAGGTTGGCAATAGGTCATAAACATTTTGTAAAAAAATATATTTTTCTGGTCCTTTGAAAGAAGTGCCAATCAAATGGGAGTAGCAGACATTTTATCATAGTTTATGCTGTTTTCATGCGTTTTGCAGTTGGAAGCAAATTTCATCTTTTTTTTAAACAAGATTGTATTTCAAAATAATCTGGAAAAATATCCCCCTTGTTAAATCTTTGGTTCCCTTTCCAACTGTACTCAGCATTTTTAAAAGCCAGATACATATAATTTGTGAACTAATGGAAAACTTGATTCAATCTTCTGCCTCTGTTATAGCTTGTTCATCTTAAACTATGCAGTGTTTCTCTTCTAAGTGTTTGATTTTTAAGAGACTGATCTTTGTTTTCTTCCTTGCCCAAAGGCAGAACAACAACATGCATTTAGAAAGCACCATTCACACAGGGTTGAGTGCCAGAGCCACTAAGACCAATTATACTTCCCAAATTGTTAACATTAGATTATTCAGTACAGATCGAGGATCAACCTTGTGCTTAGTGCAAAGCCAAGTGGTTACTACTCATTCTGCCCACCAGAGAGGCTTGAGAAAAACTCTACGCTCGTCATCATCTCTAGCTTATTTGATCAACAATCCATATACTGTATTTACCTAAATTGGTTCAGTTCATGGCTCTTGCTTCAGATGGCCAAGACAAATTCAAATTGAGTCAACTTAGAAAGTTACTATCTCAGTCACCCTTTCTGTTAGTTGCATGATAAAAAGCTTTCTTGGCTGAGAACTGAGAAAACATCTCTCAAGCAACTTCACTGCCAGCACGGGAGACTTGTAATTGTTTGGCATAACGACAATTGTACAGTTTGACCCCATTATTGTGACATCTCTTCTCCAGCTTTCATTCTTGAGAACCCCCCACCCCCAGCTAGGGTGCAAACCTTGGTCTGGCCAGTACCTTGAAACAATCTTCTGACACAAAAGACGCTAATATAAATATTGTTTTTTGTTATTGTTGTTCACCCATCCTACTTATCAAGATAATTTGCCTCTAGCCTTTTATCATCTCAACCTTTTTTTAATCTGAGATCTGCCACATTATAATCCAGACCCTTGTAAAAGCTCGACTCTCCATTCTCTTCAGTTCATTCCCCCTAGATTGTCAACAAACATCTCCTAAGTGCTATACTCCATTCATGTCAACACTATAAAGTTTGCATTCGCTGGTTAAGAATAACGTATTTGCAAGTTATACATTAAACACCTTTTATTCAGACTGATGAGCCTTCTGACTGAAACTAATGATGAAGATCAGAAACTCTGGAACAATGACCTCTTGCCACAAGAGAAAATCAATAAATTGGAAACCGAATATATTTCAACTGTCAAGGTAAAGCCTTCATCAACTTTCTCATTTTAAAATAAAATTTCAATAGATTCATTGAGAAATTTGATTGCACTAATTTTATTGCCAATTTTATCATAAAAGTTCTCTCGCCACAGTATTTTGTGGGCGATGTTTTGCGGATGTTAATCTTGGTAACATTTCGTCCACAAAATAATCCCTTCAAAAATAAATGTGGTCACTCAATCCACGACTGTTTGTGGGACACTGCTGTGCCCAATTGGCTGCCGCGTTTCGCCCACAAAATATACAGTCAATCCACTTTACAGTATATCCTATGAAGCTCTTTGAGACATCTCACCGATGTGATTAGATGCTACATCAAATGCAAGGATTATTACTATCATTATTGGTAACACTGAATCTTTTCTTCATTTTTTTATTGTAGGCAAATTGTAAAATATATATGAAGAAAAGCCTCCAGGGGGAAGAGATGACCTGTACAAGTAAAGATGAGTGTTTGGTGCTTAATGATCGTTACCACAGTGATCTGCTTATTGATATAATCCAGGTATCTACATTTAATACATTTAGAAATGATGTTTAGCAAACTTTGTACAACACTCTTAGCACTACCAACACTCAAGATATCTTCCCAGCAACTGTGCAATGGAATTAATTGGCACAGTATTAAGTTTTTTTAAAATTTGAGTCATTCCTCAGTATCTACTATTGTGTGTGTGTGTATCTGACATGTCCATTCAATTTATGTGATGAAGACAATTTGGTTCCATGAGCCTTTCTTTGAAACATAAAACCCATTAATAATAATAATTTTATTTGACGTTATGTCTCAAAGCACTTCACGGCATTTCCTGTTAGGTGTACTGACTGTATACTTCTATACATAGCAACCAATTAACATACAGCAATATCCAGCAAACAGCCATGAAGTGAATGCTCAGTTTTAGTTTGTTGCTTTTTGAGTGGTATAATTTTTTAAAAAAACATTCAGCTGCGTAGACAGACACAGCCTCGGTTTGAATTCTAGCTAACTTTTTAAACTTAGTTTGGGAAATTATTATTAAGCCACCTTCAGGTAATGAAGGACTTGCTACCCAACCCTGATTTAAGATTTGTCAAAACAGCTGACCCTATCAAAGAGAGGAAATCCAGTCATGATGGCTTGTGCTAGAGTTAGTAAAGCTGCAAGTTCCATTTAAGAGTGCAAAAGGTAAAATAAACTCTTTCTTAACCTGTCCTACTGTCAAGGTACAGTATAATCCATCTTAGTCTTGCTTTACATCAGTTTGTTTGGTATTGTTTTATCCGCTAGAAAATCAATGGAGTAGCTGATGAAGCCTCAAAGGTGACTCACAAGCTTGGTGTCCAAGTAATGTGTACAATGCTGGATGAATTTATATGCTTCTTAGAAAGGTAAATAACATTCCGTGGGCAGTTTGTAAGTGTTTCTACTTTCAATCTGTTAGGTTGGCACCATTTCCTGCATGTGAAGGACTCAATCAGGTAGATCTTTTCTGTCTATAAGACTGCATTGGGTGCAATACCACACAGAGTTCTGAAGCTATATGTCCTCAGGCACAAATGTGGGCTGAAAATAGTCACTCAATGAAGAAGAAGAAAAAATGTAACTTTTTCTTACTTCCTTTATTTTATAGGTTTCGGAAGAAAACTTTCTGTTGGCATTGTCAGTAACAAAAATAAAATCAAGTCCGGGGGGAGGGGGGAGGGGAAGGGGAGAAGAATTCTATGGGTGCTCACAAAATAGACATCATGAGCTAAACCTTACTGATCTTGCTCACACTCAGAAACATTAAGCATGATTTTATATGACAGTTCCCCATTTCTTATCATTCAGCATCTTCTTCAGGAGTCACGTGGGCCTATTTGATTTGCATTTGCAATATTTTCTAGTTTCAGGGTATCAGTGAAACGCTTTGAAATTAAATATTGGAAGAAACAGAATTTGTCAAACAATTTCATCTGCACTACAATAACCATTGTTAACAGCTGTGAACGTTTCAGGTGAGTTTGCTGGGTGAGTGTTACTGTTGAGATGAAAGGCTATCTGTTCTGTGTGGTGAATTTCTGTCAAGGCAAGATGGAGAAAATGGTTATATGAGAAATATTCAGAGGCCTGCAGTTAAAATAAATCCTCAATTACTATACTGGAGCGTAGATGGATAGGCAGAATTTGAAGGGTGAGATGAAATGGGCTGAAGGGCCTTTTTGATCCAAACCAAGCTTATGAACTTTTGTGATGTCAATAAAAACACACTGTTTAATAAAACAATGATACCATAAAAGTCTGCTTTCAATTCAGAAGTTTTCTAAGAACTATATTGAAATGTGTTTTGACTGAATCTGAGAAACTTGAACTAACATTTATATTGATGACTTTTTTTATCCAAGTAGCCGAGGTGAAGTCTTATAATTGAGTATTCATAGATTAAGCACATGGACAGATATCTTTTAACTTTTATATATTTATTGCATAGAATCGTAGAATTATACAGCACAGAAGGAGGCCATTCAGCTCATCGTATCTGTGCCAGCTCTTTGAAAAGAGCTATACAATTTAATCCCACTCCCCTGCTCTCTCCCCATAGCCCTCAAACTTTTCCTCCCCAAATAACTATCTACTCTCTTAAAAGAAGTTATCGAATCAGCTTCCACCACCCTTTCAGACAATGCATTCCAGATCTGAACAACTCGCTGTGTAAGACAATTTCTACTCACCTCCCCTCTGTTTCTTTTAACAACTATTTTAAACCAGTGTCCTCGGATTACCGACCCTCCCGCTAGTGGAAATAATGTCTCCTATCGAATCTCCTCATAATTTTGAAAACTTCTATTAAGTCTCCTCTTAACCTTCTCTGCTCCAAGGAGAATAATCCTCACTTCTCTCGCCTCTCCTGATAACTGAAGTCCCTCATTCTTGGTACCATCCTGGTAAATCTCCTTTGCACCCTCTCCAATGCTTTGACATTCTTCCTAAAGTGTGGTGACTAGAACTGAACAAAGTACTCTAGCTGAGGCATAACCAGTGTTTTATAAAGGTTCATCATAACTTCATGACTTTTGCATTCTGTACCCCTATTTATAAAGCCTAGTATCCTGTATGCTTTTTTAACAGCTTTATCTACCTGTCCTACCACCTTCAAAGATTTACTCATATGAATGCCCAGGTCTCTCTGTTTCTTCTCCCTCTTTAAGATTGTACCATCTATGCCTCTCCTCATTCTTCCTCCCACTTCGCATTTCTCCACATTAAACTTCATCTGCCATGTGTCTGCCCATTTTACTAGTCTGCCTATGTCCGTTTGCAGTCTGTTACTATCCTTCTCACTGTTCACTACTTTTCCTAGATTAGTATCATCTGCAAATTTGGAAATTGTACTCCCTATACCCAAGTTCAGGTAATTTATATAGATCAAGAACAGCAGTGGTCCCAATACTGATCCCTGGGGGATACCACTGCACACTTTTCTCCAGTCAGCAAAACCACTGCTCTGTGTTTTCTGTCTCCCAGCCAGTTCTGTATCCATGCTGCCATTGTCCCTTTAATACCGTGGGCTTCTAATTTTATCAATCATTTGCATTTGCAGAATCATTATTTTAGGACTCTCTGTAGACTTGTGAGATAGATGCAATCAAATCTTTCACATTGTACGATTGACTTTAGAGTTTACCTCGATAAAGACGACAAGATCAAGAGTGGGTCTGTGAAACAGAATGCCCTGAAAATTCTGAATGATATTGAGAAGAAAATGAAGATGTTTTTGTCAATGTCACTATTTGTTAAAATAAAGGTATAGTAAGAACAAATCGCACTTTTTTTAAAAAAAATCCTAATTCTGCAGTGCATGTTTCTTACATTGTATTAAAATTTACTTACGTTAGGGTGACTTGTTGGGCAAATTTTCTTACTCTACACACACGCGCCTCTGTTTACCTAGCAGTAAGTAGGAGCCTGGTTTTCAGTCGATTGCTTTTCCGGGGGTTATAATCCCTTCAAAAATAAATGTGGTCACTCAATCCACGACTGTTTGTGGGACACTGCTGTGCTCAATTGGCTGCCGCATGTCACCCACACAATATTCAGTATATCGTGTGAAGTGCTTTGAGATGTCTTGAAGATGTGGATAAGGCACTATATCAAGTGCAAGGATTATTATAAAAATTGTTATTTTATGGATTGTGTGCTGTAGAGATGCTATATTAATGCTACCTGCTTTGTTCTGGATGAGTTGTGTAGTATTTTGCATGATCATTTTAACATTTTAGAGGGCTGGTGACGATACACCCACCAATATTTGTCTCCTTTGCTGCGCTTTTACCTTTTTGAATAGCCCATACGATTCAACCTTGAACTTTGTAACATTAAAGAGAGAACTAGCCTGACTTCTGAATCTTTTAACAAATCAATTCACTTCAAGCAGCACATAGAGTGTGTTGATGTTTGGGAGTAGATTTTGAAGCAAGGAGTTGCTTTGGATTTAAACAATATGGTGTATAGGTGTGCCTGCATCCAAAACATAGATTATGTCTTTACTTGTCCTTCAGGAGGACTGCAAAATGCTGGTGACATCACAGTGGTTCAAGTCTCAAAGCCCTATGAAGAACATCCTTAAAATAACAGAAGAGCATCTGAAAACATTACAGAAAATGGAAGGATCACATTTACAGGTACGTAACTTGTGTTATGAGTTAACCATTTACTCTTTTTCAGCTGATAGTTTATTTTTGTTTTTGGTTATTTCGTTTTGGTTTTAGCTGCTTGTCTGACACCTGCAGAAACACAGCTCCATGCACAAGAGTATCCAAACCACACTGAGAGTCCCACACTGTGTATACAACTTATGCATTGAAATTTCCCTGTGTATGAAATAAAATACACACTCTCTTCCTGGAGGGATACGATCCTGCTTAATTCCAGAGAGTATTAGGAACTAAGGTTTGGAGACCCCAGATTGTTTGATTTTCCCAAGTACTGTTACAAGCTAAAACCACATAATCTGTCATTGAGAGCCATGTCTGACAAGCTTCCCACTGCTTGTCCAACACCTACCTTACTAGTTAGGTAGAGTAACAGAAGTCAGGTGGAATGAATCCCTAACACCAGTGACCCTTCTGCCCTTTCAAATTCGGTCAAATTCAAAGCCAGACCAACTAGTCAGCAATCCAAATACAGTCAATTTAACATTTCAAAATAGTCAATCCACTTTATAGTATTTCCTGTGAAGCATTCTGAGATGTCTCAACGATGTAATAAGGTGCTATATCAAATGCAAAGATTAATGTTATTATTAAAACAGAAAGAATTTCAATCCACATTATCAGATGTGTTAGTCTGTGCTGTTAGATCACTGGTGGACCTAGCATGGATAAGGAAACCGTGGTGTGATTCGATGTCAAGCCTGGCTGAACCTGCACCAGGCTTAAATGGTTTGCCCATATCCTGTCCTACACAGAGAGTCCACACTAAACCCTAAACGCATCATGTTCTTTGCTCTTTGAGAACAATATTCTTTATTGAGGAGAAACATCTATTATTTTGTGCCTCTGTAATTTGCAATATTCTTTTTTTAAACAGGATGTGTTGGAACAAATCCATCACCAGCTCATTACAGAATATGTTTTGAGATTGATGAAGAAGAAATTAAAGGTCAAAACAGATGAGCAGAAAGAGCTGGCAGACAAAATGAAGAGCGATGCTGAGCAGCTGCAGAAGCTTTTTATGAAATATGTGAGTAAGACCAATTTCATTTTACACTGCTACCCTGAATAACTATTGCAGTGATTAATAATAATAATAATCCTTGCATTTGATATAGCACTTTTCACATCTTCTCGACGTCTCAAAGTCTTCACAGAATATGCTGTAAAGTGAATTGACCGTATATTTGTGGGTGAAACGCAGCAGCCAATTGCGCACAGCAGTGTCCCACAAACAGTCGTGGATTGAAAATGACCAATTTATTATTGTTTTTTTGTTTTGGAGGGATTATTATTAGGGGTGTGGAGTAAGTAAACTTGCCCAAGGTTTCGCCCTGCCTGGAATTGAACCCAGATGTCTCGCTTGCAAGGCGATTGCTCTAACCACTGAACTACCGGAATGATTATTCCATTCCGATTCATTTGGACCCCAAATATAAGTTTGGATGTTGCAAATGCAAAACCCAACAGGAACAGCCATAAAGCATTAAGATCATGAGTAAACATGAAATGGGAAATAGTCATTTAGCCCATCAAACCCATTCCTTGCATTCACCAGCTACTATTCACTCTCCTGTCTCCACACAAGTAATTTAATCTGCTGAGGAAAGGTTGCATAAACGTTTTAACCCAACTCTCTCCTTCTAAAAGTAACTCAATAAAAATTCCATAGTCTTATATCCCACCTTACAATAACAACTTGCATTTATGTAAGCACGCTGCATCCTGGATAGCTTCTCTAATAGTGGTGGAGCTTGATGCCGAGCTGGCGAGAGAGGGCAGGTAACCGTATGCACAGGTATGAACTGAAGACAGAGAAGGAGGAGGCAAGGTGGAGGGATGGGGGAAGAGAGATCCATGGTTTTGGGGCGTAGTATCCCCTACATTGTTCATCCTCGACCATTTTATTTTTAAGGTGTGGCACCTATGTTTGCTCTGTTTAAAGTTCATGTTGACTATTTTTTTCTACCTAATATATTACCTGTTCCAAATTATTCAATTAAAATAAATTAAACTTGATGTAGCCTCTTTTTCTTCCAGCTTCAATGATTTTGCAATAAACGTACAACACACAAAAAAATTGTTTTGCATTTAACAGGGGTTCCAAGCTGTGTGGTTAGATACTGCTCTCCCAAGTATAGCTGAAATCATCAGGCTCCAAGATGTCAATGCAATCAAGGTGGAAATCCGTGTACTTTTTAACAACTTCCCAGATATCAAGTAAGAAAAGTTTGAATAGTTCAGAAAGAAGAAGGCATTAGCACATTTGCATTCTTGCTTCTAAGTTTCAACAAATTTAGTCATTTGAAAATAATTATGCGGCTTTCACCGCATAATTATTTGTTATGACCAACAGGTCAACAAAGATAATAATCCTTGCATTTGATATAGCACCTTATGTCATCGAAATGTCTCAAAGCACTTCACAGAATTCACGTAGTGTAGTGACTGTGTATTTTTAGGCAAACCGGCTGCCAATTTGTGCAAAGCAATGTGCCACAAACACCCATGTATAACCAATCATATCTAAAGCATTGTTGTTGAGACACTGGGAGAAAGAAACTCCTTTTTTAAAAAATAATAATATAGGGTCTTCAACGTCCACCTGAGCAGGTCGACATGGCCTCAGTTGAATGTCTCTTACAAAAGATGGCACCTCTGAGAATGTTCCCCAGCACTCTATTGGAGTGTAAACATAAACTGGTAGTTTAAAGTCGCACAATCTTCTGACTCATTTGTAACAATGCAGAAACCCCCCAGCATTGCAGTGGCATGTTGGTAGTTGAGTTCATTCTTTACTTGTCAATTGCGCTGATCAACAGGAAGCATGTACCAATGTTGCATTTAACATTGGCTTATTGTTGTAAATCCAAATGTATTTTTCAGTGTTGGTTTATGAAGAATTTCTTTGCCCATCATTAATTACGACTTCTGTCTCTCTTTTCTCTCCCCCCACCCCCGCCACCGCACGCAGAAAATGCCATGTTAAAGATATCTTACACATCAAAAAGCTGAAGGATAAAGATATAAAAAATATTTGGCAAATTCTTCACATAACCGGGAACGACAGCAAAGATTCTTCTACAGCAAAGAAACTGTTTACAAAATCTACAATTTTGAAGGATGTTTAAGAATGCATTGTGTGGTGTACACATGTGAGTTTTCTAAGTCTTTAATACCTGTTAGTGGAAGATCTAGCTCCAAAATAATTTGAATATATATTTTTGAATACATTGAATTGATATGCTTTTTAGGAAATATATACATACATTGCAACCCTTATTTTCAATATGTTTTCATCACCAACTTAGATTCCTAAAAATAGCGAGCGCCAATTATTCTTTTTTAAAAAAGTCACAAATGGATTGAGTTCTGTTTCACAACTGCTGTTGGGTTAAACTTTTTTTTTGCTGCACAGAAACATTGCTTTATGGAATCACTAACAACAAATGCAATATAGAATATATTTGGGCCTAACCATTTTATTCTGCTGTAGCTAGGGGTGAGATGGGATGGATAATACCTGTCTCAAGACCCTCCTCTTCGACCGTGCCTTCGACCACTCTCCTACCCCTATCCCAACCATCAGCCCAGGTGCGGATCCCTGACTGTCCAGCGTCTTGCGACGTCCTCCTGATGTGAAAGGCGTTATGCAAATGTAATTTGTTGTTGTAGAAAAGAATGAGCCAAATGTCCTCCACTCATACAATCATTTCTAAAGGGAATCTGACCTTTGCAGATCCTGATTGGCAGAGATCTTTGCTGTCACACAAAGCCCACTCTAAATATACATTCATATATCTTTTTAACCATCGCACAGAGTAATAAATGGATATAAAAGCCACAGATAGTAATGTGAATTTATATTTTATAAAGCTTATGGGTAACTTGCTTATATAATACAATGATTTTTTATGCACAAATGTAGAATGCTCTAATGTCTATTTCTAATAAACCTTATTTTGATAATACTGTTATTGTCTAATACTGCATATTACTAATACAATATGGTTACATTTCATTCAAATCTAACAGGCAAAAGACAAATGCAGGTCTTCCTGATCTTTCAAAAGAAATTTAGGGTAGATAAAATGTGCCAAATGCATGCATCACGTATGGAACCAGGATAGCAGTGAATGATGCATAAAAAATTTCTCTCGAATCATCATTCGTTGAATAAAGCCTTTCTTGTTCAGGCATGCCAGTGCACATTCAACATCTCTTGCACTCATGGAAATCCAGCAGTGTTATGAAATGTGACCTTGCTCAAAAATATTGGAGCAACATCACCAAATAATACAGCACAGCATTACTCTTTACATTGAGAAGATATTTGGAAGATAGTAACTTGATACCATTTGGAGGCTTTAGAACAGATATCAATATAAAATATTAATCCTTGCATTTGATATAGCACCTTATCACATTATCAGAATGTCTCAAAGTGCTTCACTGGATACACTGTAAAATGGTGTGACTTTTTGTGGGCGAACATGGCAGCCAATTTCCACAAACATCAATGCCCCACAAACAACCATGATGCAAATGACCATTTCTTTTAAAATGGATGTGGGATGGGGGTTGTTGGCCAGGACATCAGTCAAAACTCTTCTCTTTTTCAATACTGCCATGGGATCTTTAACAACCATCAGGACCAGAAGACAGGATCCCAGTTTAATGCCTCATCCAAAGGAGGCCAACTCCAACAACACAACACACTCCATCAACACAACACATTCCATCAACAAGTTGCATTGGAGTGTCAACTTAGATATATGGGTTCCAAATCCCTCACATGAGGCTTGAACCCACAGCTTCCTGACTCAGAGGGGAGAGTGCTACTAACTTAGTTAGCCTGACACTTAGCTGACTCCCCCAAGAAGCAACAGGAGAAGAATTGAGAGCCAATATTAATATTAAAGTAAGACAGCAAAGCAACAATTCATGTAATAAATATAACAACAATTATACATATTGTGTCAACATTGCTAACTCAGAACAGCAAGTGGAATTTCACCACTGTTGACCAAATCAATACACACTGTAAAATTTTGTAAAAATATCTTCTTTAAACCAATTATACTCCTTTATTTATTACATAAATTGTTGCTCATATCATTTGCTTTTTCCTTCCAGAGTAGGGCAAATCATGTGGTGCTTTTGTTCCGGTTTGCCTGAACTCTATACTTCTTTACTATCACAGATGGCAGATGGAGGGATCAGAGCTGGCAGAGACTGACCCTTTGGCACAATTGATAATGATGTAGTTAACGCTGCCATAGAAACCACCTAGCTTTGGCTCATAGCCATTTCTACGGAAATGTAATTCGAGGAAAGTTCTGTATTGACTGATAATGTCTTCATGGGTTTGGCCACAGCATTAATAATAAAAGTAACAACCCTTACATTTGATAGCACCTTTCAAGTCAGGATACTGTCTCTAGGGGTTTGTGGGGCATTGTGGTATGCAAGTTGGCTGCTGCATGCACCTACATATACACAGTCATAACACTTGACACTAAAATCCTGTGAAATGCTTTGAGACACCCTCCCAATGTGAAACATGCTATATCACAGACTACATTGTAAAGAGGAGTGATTGTATTTTGTGGCAAATTGAAAAATTAATTAATATTATTTACAGAATTGATTTCCTAATACTATGAATCCAGACTTTCTACACCAGAGAGCCCCAGGTCTGTCATTGTGCCATGCAACTTCTGGAAAATGATGAAGTAGACAGCAGATGAATGGGAACACAGTCTCTATGTGTGAGTAGAAATCCTAACCAGGAATCTTAATTGCCATTTATATCTGAAAGCTCTCAACAGAAAAATACATTTTTACTTGATGCTTAATACATTCATGACTATTTCCTTGCTTATATCAGCATCTCTCGATTGGCTCTCAAGGTCGGTCTCAAGACCCTTCTCTTCGACCGTGCCTTAGGTCTCCCTCCCACCTCTCTACCTTCCCTCACCCCTACACCATCCCTCCCTCGTGCTTGGGCCCCGATATCTGTTCAGCACTTTGGGACGTCCTCCCAACGTGAAGGGCACTCTATAAATGTAATTTTGTTGTTGTTGCTGTTCACCATATAATCGATAAGTAGTAAATTAACAAAAGGTAAACTTTGGACTAAATAATATAAAGCATTACAAACGTTTATTGATTAAATATCTGATGTTTAGTGATTAAACATCTGATCTGCATAAAATTATGAAGGCGTTATCAGAACTGATGTTTGAATTGCTGCCATGAAGAAATGGCATGAGAGCAGCTAAAGCAGAAGCTGAAGGGAAATGGATCCACAAATGAAAGAGCACAAAACAAGAAGTAAACAAGCAGGAAGTTGTGGGTAAGAAGAATATGACTCACTGGATAAGTCAGAAGTGGAATAAGAATCGAAATACATCGCATTGACCAGGATTTCCAATAATCATCAAATTTTCTTTGCTTCTTTCCCAATTGTGACAATGTTGAAGCATACAAACGCACAGCATTGCAAAAGGGAGCCAAGGGATTTCATAGCACAAATCCACTGAATGGCAATTGTCCTTCACAACAACGTGCTGCCTCTTTTTCTTAGTTACTGACCAACTTCTGAGCAAGGTTGGAATTTCTCAAGTCATTTGTGGGACTTTCCACCCTTTTGTCTTGAACTATAAGTCCTGTGGAGTCCTGTAGCTCAGTGGTTAGAGCGCTCGCCTTGCAAGCGAGATACCTAGGTTCAATTCCAAGCAGGGCGAAACCTTGGGTAAGAAAAGTTGGGCAAGTTTCCTTACTCCACACACCTGATGATAACCCCTCAAAACAAAACAATAATAAATTGGTCATTTTCAATCCACGGCTGTTTGTGGGACACTGCTGTGCACAATTGACTGCCGTGTTTCACCCACAAATATACAGTCAATTCACTTTACAGTCTATTCTGTGAAGCACTTTGAGACGTCGCGAAGACGTGAAAAGCGCTATATCAAATGCAAGGATTATTATTATTATAAAATAATATAATGGTTGCCATTTGAAACAAACCATATCATCCACAATTTAATTCATTTTGGGGACAAGAAAATTTTGTTCATCTTTTGGCCGATCCATACCAGAAAACAACTAATAAACACAAAATTAATTACGGCAAGTGTCTGTCTCAACTCATCAGAGATATAATGATACCTTAAAAAGAAAGCACAATGCTTTCTTGGCATAGACAAGTTTTTCTGCAAATGAGATGTTAAATTGTCAGTTCTTGAGGAGATTAAATAATAATAATAATCCTTGCATTTGATATAGCACTTTTCACGTCTTCTAGACGTCCCAAAGCGCTTCACAGAATATACTGTAAAGTGAATTGACCGTATATTTGTGGGCGAACGCGGCAGCCAATTACGTACAGCAATGTCTCCAAATAGTCATGGATTGAAAATGACCGATTTATTATTGTTTTGTTTTTTTGGAGGGATTATTATTAGGCATGTAGAGTAAGGAAACTTGCCCAAGGTTTCGCCCTCTGCCTGGGATTGAACTCAGGTCTCTCGCTTGCAAAGCGAGTGCTCTAACCACTGAGCTACAGGACTTAAAGAACAAATGAGAGTATCCCAAAAGAGAAGGGCGTTTCTCTGATCAACATTCTGGCAGATAAAATTGATCATTTACTTCATACATGGCTGTTTATAGGACAAATTGGCTGCCACGTTCACTTACAAATTCAAAGACACTACACTTTACAGTAATATCCTGCAAAATATTTTGAGATATTTGGCCACATAAAGTGCTATATCAAATTCAAGGATTATTATCATTATTTATTACACACAATGCCCTGACTGCCTCAATAGTTATTATTCTAATTGCAGTTTATAAAATAGTGCATGAAGATTTAACCTTGATCCCATCGAATAAATTGTTGCAAGATGAACGGCCATTGTTATTCTTAATCGCATCTTTTATGGTACCCCGCAGGCACGATTTGGAGACGTTTCCTCTGATGTTCAGTAAAGCATAAATATGCTTCTTGCTAGAAAATACAAGTACAATAAATGTTATTTTAAAAGAAAGTCACTCACTTTTGGCAGGTTTCAATTCAATTTGGATAATATCGACAGAAACCAAAGAAGTTCTCCCCAGTGGTCATAAGGTAACCGAACAGGAAACATGGATCTAATTTCTGGCTCTTGTCTACCAGCACAGCATCACTGAGTTGGCACAAAGATGATAGAATAAAATCTCTTGAGCCAGATTGCCCTTTAGTTCAGAGATGAAGAAGCTCAGCAGCACTGGGCTGATTACCCTTTTCCTACTAAGCCAAACAAGCCCCAAGGTGATAGATAATAATGGGGTCTAATTTGTGGGTTTGGTTAATCATTCATCAGCAATTGTGTACAGAAGAGATCGCAGGTGGCTTGAATTATGTAATTAACAAGCAACGAAAAGGTTCCACAACCAGTCAATTGTATCAATATTAACAATTAGTTGCAAATACTGTAGTGATTCCAGACCGCCTGCAAACAATTGTTAACAAACATTCCTGCACCAGGTATCGCCTACCTTACATCTGGATATTTTAAAATGAGATCAGCAATCACCACCTTTAATGATTCAGGATCATCAATTTCAATGATTTCTGCTAAAAGCAAAATGACATCGTTTATCCAAGTGACTGTAGAGCTTTTCTGAAAAACATTTAAAATGAAGATTTCTGTCATAGTCGCTTAAATGATGCACATGTGAATGTGCTCTTAGACACATTTGCAAAATCAAAAGTTGCTAAATAAAACTACTTTATGTTAAAATGCATATTTGAAAACACACTTAAAGTAGATAATGGATTAAAGAACTCAGAGATTTGTCTCTTGGTTTTTGTCAATTTAGCTCCTGTAGATGAATTTATAATCTGCAATATTTATAACTCAAGTTTTGTCCTTGTTTCTTCTTTTCTAGGCTGCAGCCCAGAGGAAGCTTTGCATTGTTGAAGGCGACAGAAAAATAAAAGGAATAGAAAAATGTTAAAGATATTGTTTAGCTAATGCATATAAACATAAGAATTAAGGAGAATCAATTCTAAAATACATACTTGCACAAAATATGTTTTCAGTCGATCAGAATCTTTTTTCATTCTGCCAGCTAGGATTATCCTGTTATCATCTGAACACTTGGAGTTTCTGTAAAGGGCCTTTATAGATTCCTGGATGGTCCGAACATGAGCTCTATCTACCAAAGCCTGCAAATTAAACAATGCATACTGGTTTGCTGTCCAGAATGTTATACATGTTTCAGTTTAAAATCATGTAAAATGTATTTGGAAAAGGATCAGCCTTACTTTACCTGATTGATCCCTTGATCCTTCTCGGGTCTCAATTTGAAATAAGAAGTTAGAGACTCCAACACTGAATCGATGTACCTTTCAGTGAACCATTCATTACTTTTTAAATAATTTTTTAACTGGACCTGCACAACAAAAGACAATGTTATTGAATATCAACTGCAGTAAAGCAGTTTGTGATGCTAAAACCTGTCAAGTTGACACTCAGCTGATTATTAAATACATGCAGGGCTTTTTGGTTACTGATTCCAATGTATTGTTTTTAATCAGGCCTGTAAGTCAGAGTTAAGTCAAATAGAAAATAATATAATCCTTGCAATTGCATCTTTCGCATCAGGAGGACATCTCATACAGCTTCATAGTGGATTGACTATTTTACTGTAAAGAGTGATGACTGTGTATTTTTAAGCAAAAATAGTTTATTTTTCTCCTTGCATGTTTTTCGCCCACAAATATACAGTCAATTTACTTTACAGTCTATTCTGTGAGGCTCTTTAAGACGTCTAGAAGATGTGAAAAGCGCTATATCAAATGCAAGGATTATTATTATTAAAGTTGATGACGAGGTTCACATTTCATTTCACAATTGTGACAGGGAAATACTTGTTTAAGAAAACATTTAAGTTGGATTTTTAAGTGATTTCTAAAATCAATAAAGAACAGCCACAAAGAATGAGTTAAAGAACTCAATAATTTTCAGTGAGAAGCTGGAAGAAGACGCTAATCCACAGCACCCTCTGGAGGCTCAGAGAATTGGTTGCACTGTCATCTCTGAATCAGAAGGTCTGGGGTTCAAAATACAATTATCAAGCTTCACATTGGGACTTTGAACTCACAATCTAAGCTGATATTTCAATACAATGCTGGGGGCGCACTGGATGGTTGGAGATTTTTTTCTATTCAAAATGAGAAGAGAGTTTCTCCCAGAGTCCTGACCAACAAACCCCCAGATAAAATTGGTCATTTGCTTCTTGGCTGTTTGTGGAACATTGCTATGTGCTAAAATGGTTGCCGCGTTGCCCTACAAAATGCACAGTCATAACATCTTACAGTAAATCCTGTGAAGTATGATGAGATGTCCACCGAATTTAAAAGGCAGTAAAACAAATGCAAGGATTATTAATGTCATTACACTATTGGGGAAGGGATTTTAAAATACACAGGATATTATAAGACATATCAGTTTGCTTATGAAACAAGTGAGTGTACTGTACCGTGATTTTATAAAAAAGCTCCTCCAACAATTTATCACAACTTTTGTTTTCTGCTTTCTTGAGCAATCCCAAATGATTACTCATATCTTCGGCATTGTTGTGTGTTAATTCAGTGAAACATTCTCTGGTCACGAAAAAAATAATCTCATTATCAACCCAGTTGACTCAATTTTTTTTGCATTAATAAAGATTTGGTAGCTAATGGCACAACCACACTGAGAACTTCAGTTCTGTCTTACTGATCCCAACATGCACATTAGTTAAGAATTTCAGGTATCCTTCCACTGAGGTATTGAGAGGTTACTGTTCTTCAAATGAAACCTTTGTCATCTTAGCACTCTCGCCTCTGAGTCAGAAGGTTGTGGGTTCAAGCCCGACATCGGGACTTGAACTTGCATAGTCTAAGCTGACACTCCGATTCAGAGTTGGGGGTGTTACGTATTGTTGGAGGTGCTGTCTTTTAGATAAGACATTAAGATGATTTCCCGTCTGCCTGTTCAGGTGGATATTAAAGTTCCATGGCACGATTAGAAAAAATAAGGGAGTTTCTCCCGGTGTCCTAGCCAACAAACCCCCAAATACAATTGGTCATTCATTCCAATGGCTGTTTGTTGGACATTGCTCTGTGCAAACTTTAGGCCAGTCCACATTGCTTTTCATCTTGTTGTCATTCAGATCTCAGTATTTCAGTGTCAATTTGGAAAATACTAGCTTAACTCAACTTTGACATTTATGGATAGTCTCGTGCTGTTGATTTGTGCTTCCACTAGAAATTGAGTCATACAGAAGACCAGACCACATGACCAACAGAGAAGCAAAACTTTCATCTCAACTTGGACTGGATCTGAATCTTGTTCCCAGGGGTGAAAAGACAAAGTCCTGACTGTGCCCACCACAAACCCCCCACCCCCCCATCCAGCCCCGCAACATTATTATCATTTGAGAAAACACTTACCTGAGACACGTGCAGCCATTCACAATCTCGTTTGATTTGCCGGACTCAATACAGTTTATGTATCTTGACAGAATAAATAAATTGTAACATATCAATTTTAGATGGAATCATTTATAAAACAATGTTATGCTACAGCAAAACAGTTGTTCCAGATGGTGAATATTTTTCAGATGGAGCACAGTCTCTGTGGACATTTGAAAGGGAGGGAGATTTGGGAATGTGTAAACCTCTGGGCCTCACACTCTTCCCCCTCCTAACTTGATTTTAGTTAAAGATATAATAATTCTTGCATTTTGATATAGCGCATTATCACGTCTTCGAGACATCTCAAAGCGCTTCACAGAATATACTGTGAAGTGAATTGACTGTATATTTTGTGGGAGAAATGCTGCAGCCAATTGCACACAGCAGTGTCCCACAAACAGTTGTGGATTGAAGTGACTGATTTTTTTTCAAGGAATTATTACCCCTGGAAAAACCGTCCGCCAATCGACTAACAACCGGGTTCATACTTACTGCTAGGTAAACAGAGGCATGTGGAGTAAGGAAACTTGCCCAACATTTTGCCCTACTGGGAATCAAACCCAGGTTTCTCATTTGTGAGGTGAGTGCTCTAACCACTGAGCTACAGGACTCTACCATGTAGATCTGTGTAAGTAGTGCATATTTACCATATCGGCAAGCTGCAGTTTATCAATCTCATTAACATATAGAAATTATGTGAAAGCGTATTTTCAGAGGCATTTTCAATAACAATGTATTTACCTTGGAGTGAAGTCAATGAGTTCATTGGTGCAGATCTGTTGAACATCTAGACTTAGATTTTCATTAATCTCTTTAGCGCTGTCTATGAAATTGTTTACTTTCTAAAAATACAATACAAAGGACTTTGTGAAAGTCAGACATTTTTTGCTTGAGTCTTTCCTTTAAACAGTTGCTTGAGAGTAATGTCAATTATGTCACGTGGATTATATTACTATTTAAGACTGGGTAGAAAATTATAGCCGTCAGAGGGCAAATCCACTTGAATAAGAATTTGAATAACTAAGACGATATCTAGCATCTCAATTACTCAAAAAGTTTCTGTAAGTTTTGTGTATTGTCATCCAGCAGTCTAGGTGCTTTGCTTTCTTCCCGATGTGAAAGGCACTTTACAAATGTAATTTTGTTATTGTTGTTGAAGAGCTAAGAATTATCCTTCATTTATAGTAATTTGAATAAAACTCAAAGGATCGAGTTCAAAATTCTCATCCTCACCTTCAAGGCCCACTATGGCCTTGCCCCCTCCTACCTGCTAACCCCTTATTAACTTGTCCACTCCCTCACTCTGCTCCAGTCTGCTCCACGTCCCCCGCCCGGCCCCCACCATTGGCGGGTGGGCCTTCAGCCTCTCTACCCACACCATCTGGAACTTCATCCCACAGTCCCTTTCCCTCGCTCCCTCCCTTGCCTCCTTCAAGGCACGCTTCAAGACCTTCCTCTTCAACAGTACCTCCTACTCTTTCTGCCCTCCATCCTCCCTAATTCCCAGCTCTCCCCCACCCATCTTGCAACCCCCTGCTCGAGTCCTAACCCATAATCCCTGACTGTTCAGTACCTTGGGATGTCCTCCTGACATGGAAGGCGCTCTACAAATGTAATATTGTATTGAATTTAAGATTTTTATAAAATAAATTTTTATAAATCTTAGTGTCACACACAAACTTGTTCCAAACGTGATACCAATTTAATCCTTACACTGATATGCAAAGCAAATTCTAGTTTATTATTCTGAGCTCCAAAATTTCTTGGATTTGAGATTGTAGGGACAAAAAGCTAACCATTGCAGTGATATATGTGAGACCTTCATGAATGTTTCAAGTTGATTTTTTTTTGCTGTTTTAAAAATGACATTCCCAAATGTTGTACAGGCTTTAGGGCTGGTCTTAATGCTGTTTATGAAGAACAGGCTATTTTTCACTGCTGTTAAGAGATTCACAGAACGTCAATTGTAACAAAGAAAATGTCATTGTCTGATCAAATACATTACTGATCACAGTGCTCTTTTTAGATGAATGCATTCCATCACCATTAGATAACTCTGTGTCTATTTTTTGTGGTAATCCTGTCATCATGTTTTTCTGTAGTATGAGTGTTACTGTGTTGCCTGATTATAAAAGATTATCATCTAGTTGCAAGAATAATCCTGTTTATGCCATCGCATCATAGAACTGCATGATATTGGTGCTAGTCTAGTAAATTCAGGTCATAGACCAGTGGTTAGATTCACTTATATCTCCTACCTCTCCAACCTACTAACCCCCCTTATCAAGTTATCCACTCCCTCAGCTCCAACCTGCTCCATGTGCCCCAGCCCATCAGTCAGTCACTTATTCCCTCCCACTTCCTTGAACACTAGGCCCATATTTATTGGTATCTTCTCACTGGAAGAAAGCATTCAAATATACTAGGGTCTATAAAGTTAATGATACTTGATCAGTGATCGTTAGGTTAATACAAAGGGCCTGCAACTGATTTAGCTTCAGCCAAAAGAATTTAGCAACTATCGTGAGTACTGTGCTAATTGAAAAAGTGCTCCATTCTAGTAACTATGTGAGAGTAACTATGTGAATAAATTACCTTAAAGTGTATCAGGGTGGTCCAACATATTGGCTGCTGAGGGCCGAATGCCCTATTTGGGAAATGACTCTGGGCCGCATAAGCAATATTTTTTGCTTCCCTTCGAGAAACACAATATTTATGGGTTATGGAGGGAGCAGGTAGACCAGATGAAATGGAGGTTTGGGGGGGATGAAACTGGCCATCTATCCAAAAATATACTCCGTTCTCTCCTCAAATATATAATATGGGCACATTCTGCAAAACAGATATTTGCTTTGGCATAAGATATTTTGTGCGTGAATCAGAATTGTACTTGGATTACAATATGCCCAAACTCCTGATCAACACGTGTTTAACCTGCGGTCCATTTAATCATTCAATCAACAATGCATCCTACCAAGAACAACACAAAACAGCTTTAGAGCAGCGGAATGATAGGATTCAAAACTGTGTGAAATTTACCAGCATGCGAGCACTAAAGCTGGATCAAAAGCTTGTATTTGACTGTTATATGTGGATTAAGGATTCTGTACAGTGGGAATCAATGGAAGTGATTTGGAACATTGGTATTTTGTCATTGGAGCTGAATTCAGCTTGAACCAAGTATATGTTTAGTTCAAATTGTCAGTAATATCACAATAATAATAGCTAAATGTCTGAAAAAATTTTTTATGACAATTTCTTTACGGACTTCATGAGTGATATGGGAAATACTATAAGTTTTTTTGATCAATGTTGGCCCTGAACATTCTTACATTCCTACAACAAATTTGTGTGTCTATTCATGTGAAATGTACCTCCTTGATGGTAGATAGTGGATCTTTCTTGGACACATCTTTCTTCCCAAATTTCGTGATAATTTCTTTGACTTCCGACTGAAAATGAACAATTGATTACATTATCCCGAAGAAATACAATATTCTGCTTTTGAAGCGAGGAATGAGAAAATATTCATACATCTGCTCCCTTGCACAGTTTCATGGTTAGCTGAAAATTACTTTGAAATTTAACAATTGCTATCTCTATTCAAGTGTTGGTGGTGGAAAGTTCCCAGGTTTTCCACCCAACCCCAACCCAACACACACACACAAACACACATATACCCAAACGGCTCCTCCACACCACTTTTAGAACAGCTTTTTTGTAGTAAGTCAAATATGTAAAGATGCAAATATCTTGACCGTTTTGATTTTTTTTACGGATTGCCAACACAAGGATGGTTTTAAGATTAATATTTTACCGAAATGCATCCCTCATCACCATGGATAGCGAGTGAAAATATTCTTTGATTCTAATTGGGAGGGTGGGGGGTGGGGTGAGCTGAGCTGCATTCTCCTGGTACATCTTGTCTGCGCTTCACTGAAGACTGCGGAATGCCCGCGCGCGCGTGTGTGTGTGTGTATGTGTGTGCGGTGCTGGTGGCGGTGTAGGATCGGCACTGGATCCAACTCCCACTCACTCAACTCGTTGACTGCTACACTTGCTTTACTTCACATCTCTTTGCACAGTGGAAAGAGCATCGCCCTTTTCCAGCCTCATCAAACCCATGAGTCAAAACTGATGGGGGGGATTAAAAACACTCTGGAAACTACCCTGCGTGAGGGCCACTATAGAAATGCAAATTGTTTTTGGTGGTTAAGCCCCCTCTAGCCCTAGCCACTCGCTACCTACGCTCATCATTGGTTACCTTGTTATACCATAATGTCATTGGTAAAATGATTGACTTTAGCAGTGTGACCTTAAATTTGGATAATTGAATGTTCGTATACAGTAAAGTCCTGATAACTCTACCCCGGCTTAACTTGTCACTATCACATAAGGACATCATGCTGTCAATATCCCAGCCACATTTACTGATGTAAACTCGCCACTCCAGATAACTCGTCACTCCCTTGGATGCTTTACTGTATTAACAAAAGTCTGTTTTCTTTCCTTTGACTTTACCTGTACCGCTTTTTTCAAATGTTTTTCCCAATTGGTCTGCAATGAAGAATGTAGTTCACTTCCATTCATCGTTAAATGTTGGATACAAGGCTTGTCCAGGATTTCCTTACTGAAAGAGAAAACAGAGCAACTGACTATTTCTTTCAAATCCCTGCTTAATTCCCTAAGCCTAAGCCCAAGATCACTTGTGACATAGGACATTCTTTCTCACAAGGGATCTCAGGGTGGTAAATATTCATTTTTTTAAAAAAAGCTCACCTTTCACACTTGCACATCACCCACTTGAAAATATAGAAGAGATCCTCTGCTTCTAGATTTCTTTGGACCATTTGGTCAAGATGTTGGAAAATACAAGCATGATAGCTTTTTTCATATATGTGAATAATCTTATTTTCCTTTAAGAACAACCTGAGTTTCTCTAAATCATTTGATACAGCCTTTTTCACCTTGGGTAGATAGTTCTCTACTACGGAGTATTCAAGCTTTGATATTTCCGTTTCCACATACTCTTCTACCAGTTTTGTAAACTGCTTCCCCCATTCTCTTGGTCTTCCAGGTGGCATTCTTTCTGTTTTCATGCGCAACGTCTCATCTCTCGCATCTTCATTCTTAGTCACGTTGTACACTAATGCGAGTAAACGACAACCTTCCATGCAGTTAGGTTTTGTTTTCTTCACAGCTGACCACATGTTGCTTTCCATTTCTTCATAAAGGACCTTTATTTTCTCTTCGGATATTTTCTTTGGCTCATAATCTTCCAATGCGGTCTGTGCGTTTTCATATTTTCTATTGCTTATAAAGTCTTGAATTTCTGCAACTTAAGAGGCAATTTATTAGCGACATTTTATGAGGTGAAATTCCATCTGAAACTATATTCGGGTAATAAGGTTCAACACGCCTAAGATAGTTAAAAAATACAAAGCTTCATTTGTTGTTTAGTCTAATTCAGTCTAATAAGGAAGTATAGTATAATCACATCTAACACCAAGTCCAAAGAAGTCATGGACTTCCTTACATCTAAAATTGACAACATCCACCTGGCAACTTCATCCTTCTGCCCCGTGTCACCTACCACCACCCCATTCCATCTCCCTCACCCACCCCGCCCTCATCTCCTACCCCAGCCTATGTTCATTCGTCCCCATCTCTCCTTCCTCCCTCTCATAATAATAATAATAATAATCCTTGCATTTGATATAGCGCTTTTCACGTTTTCTAGACGTCTCAAAGCGCTTCACAGGATATACTGTAAAGTGAATTGACTGTATATTTGTGGGCGAAACACGGCAGCCAATTGCGCACAGCAGTGTCCCACAAACAGTCGTGGATGAAAATGACTGATTTATTATTTATTTATTTTTTTGGAGGGATTATTATTAGGCGTGTGGAGTAAGGAAACTTGCCCAAGGTTTCGCCCTGTGCCTGGAATTGAACCCAGGTGTCTCACTTGCAAGGCGAGTGCTCTAACCACTGAGCTACAGGACTCCACTATCTATTTGGAATAGATTATAAATAAACCTGGTGAATTGTTGGTTTTCTGTGTCCTAATCACCTCTTTTGTGAAGTGGACATTTAAAAGCAAGTAAATCTTACAAAACAGGTTGTGGTTTTTCATTCCTTATATGACGTCTTCTGCAACACGAGCACCATTTTCTCCTAGTATAGGTTGTACTATTTCTCTTTAATTATATTGGTTGGACAAATCAAAAAAATTCTTGCATAAATTAACTCATCCACCATCACCACAATGAAATCCACCAGCTGCTGCCTCAAACCCCTCTCCACCCGACTGCTGATCATCCAGCTCCCCCTCCTCTGCCCACTGCTGGAAGACATTATTAACCAGTCCCTCTCCTCAGGATGAGCCCCACTCCCCCTCAAAACCGCAGTCATTAATCCCCTCCTTAAAAAACCTACCCTCGATCCCTCCAACCTCGGCCACTACCACTCAATCTCAAACATGCCCTTCCTTGCCAAAGCTCTAGAATGCGTTGTTGCCAACCAACTTCGCGCACATCTCTCCCTCCACACCCTCCTTGAACCCCTCCACTCCGGTTTCCGCCCTGCCCACAGTACAGAGATAACTCATAAAAGTCACAAACGATATCCTCTCTATCTGTGACCAGGGCTCCCTTTGCCTCTTTGTCCTTCTGGATCTCTCCTTCGTGTTCAACAGTCAATCATGCCATTCTCCTCCACCGCCTGTCCTCCATCCTCCCCCTCAATGGGACCGCACTCGTTTGGTTCGAGTCCTAGCTTGCAAACCGCCATCACCACATTTCTACAAATGGCTTTTCTTCTCGCTTCCACCTGATCACCTGCAGAGTACCCCAAGGATCCATTCTTAGCCCCTTTCTCTTCCTCATATATATACTCCCTCTCAGTGATATCATCTGCAAACACGGGGTTAACTTCCACATATATGCGGATGACACTCAACTCTACATCTTCTGTCCCACAGTTCCGACCTCCTCAACCTACCCGTCCTGTCCTTAAAACTCTCTGAACCCATGCGCAACTTAGGCATCAGGATCGATCCCCAGTTATCCTTTCTCCCCCACATCCGGTCCCTGACCAGCACAGCTTTCTTTCACCTCCACCACATTGCCCGTCTCCGACAATACCACACCCCAAAAGCTGCCGAAATCCTTGTCCATGTCTTTATTACCTCTTGGCTGGACTACTCTAACACCCTCCTCGCCAGTCTCCCCTCCTCCACTATTCACAAAATTCAGCTCATTCAAACCTCCACCCCCACATTCTTACCTGCACCAAACTCCGCACTCTGATTACTCCAGTCCTTGCCAAAGTCCACTGGCTCCCCGTCACAGAGCAGATCGATTTCAAGATCCTCACTCTAGAGTTCAAATCCCTCCATTCCTTGGCACCCCCTATCTCTCTAACCTCCTCTCTCCCCACAGCTGCCTTCGCTCTACTGGGTCCGGCGTCCTCTGTGTCCCCCGAATCCAATGCTGCACCATTGGCGGCCGTGCCTTCAGCCACTAAGCCCTGAAACTTTAGAACTCCCTCCCTCAACCCCTCTGCCTCGCCCCCTCCTTCCCCATCTTTGACTGTGCCTACAGTCACTTTCACCCTCCCACTGGCTCGGCCTCGAGCTCCGCCATTATTAAGCGCTCTGCGAGACACCGCCCGGCGTGGAGGGCACTTTTTATATGCAAGTTGTTGTAGTTGTTAATGTAAGCAGCTGGAGGATATCATTTTTAAAATGACTATTAAATTTTAACCCCATACAATCGTGCTCTGGAATCCATTTTGAGTCTTTAGATGTCTCCAACACGGTGTAAACAATGGAATAAAAAATAAGATTAGGATTGAAAATCATGTATTCTTGAAATATTGACTGACTCAGGGGAAAAAAGGAACATGGGCATCTTAAAAAGCTTACCTCTAGAAGCAAATTATCAGTAAAAAAAGATTTAAATTATTTGAATGAATTAAACTAACAGTGTTTCATAGTATTAGCGAAACATAAATATGAGTGAACAGGATTTTGAGGAGATGATCCCAATACATGGATTCTACTCTCAGGATTCCGACATGTCAGAAATCAGAGTAAATCATTCTCAGCAGCACTGACTGCAAAACGTCCGCTCCCTCTGTAACAAGCCCCTGGTCATGAACGATCTCATCCTTGATGAGAGCGTTGACATCATGGCCTTAACGGAGACCTGGCTCACCCCAAGCGACACCTTCCCCCTCACGGAAGCCACACCACCCGTCTACACCTCCCACCACATCCCTCGCCCCACCCGCCATGGCGGTGGTGTTGCCCTTATCTCAAGGACACCACTTGCCCTATCCCCCTACTCCTCTGGCTCTTTCCCCTCTTTTGAGCACCTCACCCTCTCTCACCCCTCCTATCTCTCACTCAAAATCCTCCTCCTCTACCGGCCCCCTAAAACCTCTCCCACCTTCATTTCCGATATTTCTACCCTACTAACATCTCTCTGCCTCTGCCCTGATCGCCTCATCATCCTGGGTGACTTCAACCTGCACTTCACCCCCTCCTGCTCCATCTCCTCGGACTTCTCTTCCCTGCTCTCCTCGCTCAACCTCTCCCTCCACATCAACTCCGTCACTCACAGTCACGGTCACCCACTCGATTTGGTGATCACCTGGGGCCTCAGTGTCTCGGATGTCACCATTACCGACAAGGCCGTCTCCAATCACCACTTCATCTCCTTCACCACCTCCACCCCCCTCCCCACCTCCACCAGACCCACCACCATCTTCTACCGTCCCTGGAAGAAGTTACCCCCACAATCCCTAACCGTTGCCTTGGAGTCTTCTGAACTCCTCTCCCTCTGGCCTTCATCCATCACTGACCCCTCTTCTGCTCTCACCCTCCTCCACAACACCCTCTCCTCCACACTCTTGCCCCCATCACCTCCCGTACTGTCTCCTACTCTCCTACTCTCACTCCTCCCCTTGGTTCACCACCCACCTCCACTCACTGAAGAGCCAGGTGTGGGACGCTGAATGCACCTGCCTCAAATCTGGCCTAAAGGTCAAATCTGGCTGGACCTCCTCAAAATCTACCGCTCCACTCTAGCCTCGGCCAAGTCGTCCTTCTACTCCAGGATAATCCTGGAGGCGAAGAACAACCCCAGGCTACTGTCCTCTACCACATCCCGACTCCTCCGTCCCCCCCACCACCCCGCGCAGGTCATCTCCTCCAACCTTCACTGTGAGGAGATGCTGGATTTCCTTGAATCCAAAATCAAGGGAATCTGCTCCGCGGTCACTGCCCCTCCAACTTCCACCCACCCCCCCACCCTTTCCCTCCCACACTCCAACTCCTACCCATCCTCCCCTTTGAACCTGTGTCCCCACCCTCTGTCACCAACTTCATCCTGTCCCTGAAACCCACCACCTGCTCCCTTGACCCCATCCCCACTCCACTCCTTATCTCTCAGCTCCACCTCCTTGCCCCACTTCTCACAGACATCATCAATCTGTCCCTCTCCTCTGGCTCTGTTCCCATTCCCCTAAAAACTGCCACCATCACTCCCACTTTGAAAAAACCCTCCCTTGATGCGTCGCAGCTATCAAGCTACCGGCCCATCTCCAACCTCCCCTTACTGTCCAAGGTCCTTGAAAGAGTCATCGCCTCCCAGCTGCGCTCTTTCCTCTCCACCCATTCATTATTCGAACCCCTTCATTCGGGTTTCCGTGCTGCCCATAGCACAGAATATGACATCTTGACCACCTGCGACCAGGGCTCCCTCTGCCTCCTCGTCCTCCTCGACCTATCGGCTGCATTCGATACGATCCTCCTCCACCGCTTGTCCTCCCACCTCAACCTTTAAGGCCCTATCCTTGAGTGGTTTAGGTCGTACCTCTTCCACCATCTTCATTTTGTTTCCACAAACGGCTTCTCCTCCAGCCCCCGCACTGTCTTGTGCTGAAACTCTGGTCCACGTCTTTATCACCTCAAGGCTGGACTATGGGAACTCTCTCCTCGCCGGCCTTCCCGGCACCTCCCTCCACAAGCTGCAGGTCATTCAAAACTCTGCAGCTCGTGTACTGTCCCGCACCAGGCTTCGGGACCACATCACTCCCACCCTCGCTCCCCTCCACTGGCTCCCCATCCCCCAGAGGATCGAATTCAAGATCCTCATCCTCGCCTACAAGGCCATTCACGGCCTTGCTCCCTCCTACCTCTCCGACCTACTATCCCCCTACTTACCTGCCCATACCCTCCGTTCCTGTGGCTCCGGTCTGCTCCACATCCCCCGCCCAAACCGCCCTACCATCGGTGGCCGGGCTTTCAGCTTCTCAGCCCCGAGGCTCTGGAACTCCATCCCCCAGTGCCTTCGCCTTACCTCCTCCCTTTCCTCCTTCAAGGCCGGTCTCAAGACCTTTCTCTTCAACCGTGCCTTCAGCTCCCCTCTCGACTCTCTACCCACTCCTCGCTCCCTCCCTTCCCTCCCCTCACCCTGACCATTTCCCCACTGCTCGGGTCCCGACCCAAATGTCCAGCGCCTTGGGACATCCTCCCGACGTGAAAGGCGCTCTATAAATGAAATCTTGTTGTTGTTGTTGTTGATCAATTGTACTGTCTATTAGTTGAAATAATTATTAGGAATAAATTACGTTTCTCTTTATCAAGTGACTGAAAGCACGACTGCCGATGGTACGAGGGAACAAACAGGAGACCGGAGCTAGCTGGTGGCCAGTGGAGAGTGACCAAAACCAAAATTACAAAATAAAATTCCTTTAAATAGATTTTGAACACAGAGAGTTAAAAAGAACTTAAAAAATTAAAAAAACGTTCAGTGATAGATTGAATGTTGTTACCTGTGAATGTATAGGAGTTACTTTGCCACGTAAGGAGACTGACCAGCTCCTGCTTGTCCTTCTTTGAGGGTTTGAATAGTTTCTTTAATTTTTTCCACATTCTTTTTGTCTTGGATATTTTCTGAACAATATTATTTTCTTTCCTGTATCTGCGAAGAGTTTATTAGAAGTTAGGTTATTATTATTGACGAGTAACTTGGCTTCATATTTGATCTGATGTGTTGAAATGCTATCTTTATCAGTCTGAAAGCACAATTTTTAAACTGAACACAGCATTCTGTCCCTAGATAGCAGTTCCGTACACAAGTTCAAAGCATTTCTGGAGAATAAAGGATGGTGAGGCTGATCTTGGAGTCCTGTAGCTCAGTGGTTAGAGCACTCGCTTTGCAAGTGAGAGACCTGAGTTCAATTCCAGGCAGAGGGCGAAACCTTGGGCAAGTTTCCTTACTCCACACAGAGCCTAATAATAATCCCTCCAAAAAAAACAATAATAAATTGGTCATTTTCAATAAACAACTGTTTGTGGGACATTGCTGTGCACAATTGGCTGCCGCGTTCGCCCACAAATATGCAGTCAATTCACTTTACAGTATATTCTGTGAAGCGCTTTGGGATGTCTAGAAGACGTGAAAAGCGCTATATCAAATGCAAGGATTATTATTATTATTAACTGCTTGATCTGAGGTTAGAATGCACAAAAAAACACACCTATTAGTACACAGGTTTTGTGGAAAGTGAGAATCTATTTTTATGTAAAAAAAAGACACTCATACGTGACAATAGGTTCACAAATACATCCAATTATCATAAAATTAAGATTCCGGAAACAATTGAAAGATTAGGCTTTTACTCTGTAATTTTATTGCATTGCTGTGTGGCTGGTTAGCAATTGAAAACTACAACACAAAATGCTTGTGTCATGTCAGGTTGGCTGCACGGGTGATCTCATTGGTAATAAAGAACAAAGAATATGCAACCTCAGAGATCAGTGATAACCATTCACAATGGCAATCCAACAGGAGCAGAAACTACAAGAAGAAAAAAGTAAAATACAGTGGTTACAATACCGTACGATATACTTGTGTATATTGCCTTTCACATCACATTGCTGCTGGGCACTTCAGCTTGAGGTGGAAATCGAGGGTGGTGGAGAGGGAAAAGTCAAAGATATATACGCCTTGAGATGAACCTTGAATGAATGAAGGAGAGAATGAATTAGAGGGTCTTTGGGATGGAGTTCCAGAGAGCAGGGGCAGGATGGTTGAATCCCTGTCCACTAATGGTGGGGTAAATAGGCAGGGGACTTGAAGCTGGGTACACTGAGGGGGTGAATCTCACGTCTGTTCTATATCTCTTTGCAGGATCTGCTTCAGAACTTTGAACACACTGGGGAAGAATGATCTCGGCGCTGTATTGTTGCATCCTCAAATGACCTGCTGGACAATAACTTTGTTGATTAACAATCTAAGTTTTGCTGCCAGGAATAGTTGGCAATAATGGTCTGCATACGATTCAGAAATTATGCGGGAATGTTGGAAGATTGTTCAGTTCGAACGAAAACTATATTTTAAAAAATGTTTTAAAAATAAACTGTGGCAGTGTTATTTGTATTTATTTGGTGCTTGTTCTAAGCAGGCATAATGCTGCAGTTGGTTCCTGCTTCTTGTCAAAGGGGGGTGATGTCTATGACAACATCAGCAATGTCAGCTTGTTGCCAGCGCAGAATATTCTAGAAATACCATTTAATTAATTCATTCATTCATTGACTCATTCATAGCCAATCACATTGATTCACACTGAGTGTTTAGCAAGTCATATATCCTCTGCGCTGGTGGTGTTGTTTTTGCAGTGTGCAGGGACACCTAAAAATCTGTATTCTTTCAGCAAGAAGATTTTTGCATGTTTGCATGCAAGATTTTTTAAATTCTTTACTTTGAAATGACAAAGTAAAGAATTAAAGTTGTGAGTTGAACTCCCCCCACCCTCTCCCCCTAGTTCGGGGTCAGACTCCGCCACTGTCAAGATATCTAGGACTCTATCTTGCATGAAGGGCGCTATATAAATTCAAGTTGTGCTTGTTGAATTGGCCAATGCTTTATTTCCTAACCATCCCTGCTGACCATCCCAGAGCTGGAGGTCATTCGAATTAAGATCGACAACCATCTTGTTGCTTAGCAGAATGGTTTGAGTAAGTTGAGGTGGTCAGAGTGGGGGTCGGGGGGGAAGGAAAGATGAAAAAGTCCTCCATCATGCGGATTCTCTGCCAGGCACAGCACCTCAGTTTGACTCCAAAATAATTATTTTATCAGCCACTTTAAAATAATTTGGAGGGTAAGCAGAAATGTTGTTCCTGGGCTTGTGGAAATGTTGATTCATAAGAATTATTGAAGTAATTGTGGATGGACACACCCTTTATTAGGGAAACTTTCACTTGCTCTTCAATAATTTTGGCATTTGCAATGCTAGTTTCTGAGATTCAAATCCATGACCTTAGGACACAATAGGAAGCCATTCAACCCATTATTTTTTATTTGCGTTTGCTCAATAAGAAGCAATCCACCATAATCCCATCCCTTGCTCTTCCTCCAAACCTCTAATATTGTTCCTCTAAATTAAGTGTGTGCTGGATAACAAAAAAAAGCATATGGTTTCAGATGGTTTGTATGGGATCAAAGATAAAGAAATAAAGAGTTTTACTGGTTACAGCTGATGAATTTTAAATCCGTTTCTTTACAGTTCAATGGTTTCAGGGCAAAATATCTGTATGGTGAAGCATCACATTTGCTCATAATGTTTATAGAGAAAGGTGGGTGGGAAGTCTAAAATGCATTGTTTCTACTTTTCTTAGTCAAGACTCCATTGAATAATTCTTTCAGGTAACACAATCTTACAATAATAAATAGTCATTGTATTTGATATAGCACCTTATCACATCTTTGAGACATTTCAAAGCACCTCATAGAATATACTGTAAAGTGAATTGACTGTTTATTTTGTGGGTGAAGTAACTGAAACTTTTTAAAGCAATATATAACCCATTCATGCTCCTTTGTCAATCTAATTGGGTATCAGTACATTTTTATGAACATCTTCCCACTTCCACAACATGAAACACATTGGGGCATATTTAACAAAGAATAGCTAAGATACAATTGTAAAAATCCACAACTGAATATAGATTTTAAGACAGTGAAATAGTAGAGTATAGATTTTTTAAATTGGTGATTTCAAGGCACTGAGCTGCACTCAGGCTTACATAATCCATACAAACCAACGAGCTTCTCATTCATGATTTATGACGTTATCATATTCCCCAATTAGATCTTATTTTATTATTATAATAATAATACTTGCGTTTAACACAGTGCTAATAACGTCAAAAGAGCTCAAAGTGCTTCAAAGGTATCTGCGATCAATCACAGCAGCCAATTTGTGCACCAGCAGCCATGAAATAAATGGTTAATTTATCTGGAGGATTCTTCTCCAGGACACCAGCTGCAATTTCTTTCTCTTTTTGAATAATGTCTTTGGCTCTATCAGCATCAGCCTGAACAGGCAGATTTGTGAGGCAGATACCACTTTAATATATCACACAACACCATTGGAATGCAGTGCTCCCTCAATACTATAGTATCAAACGAGACTACGAACTGAAGGCCCCACTTGGGACTTGAACCCAAAAACTTTCTCTGAAAAGAACGCTACCAACATAAACTAACACCTTATAACCAACTAATTAATGTAAAAACAATCAAATTAAAGAATGATCTGCTCCTATTAAATTGTTCAACAACATACAAAAGAATAGACATACAACATAGTGCTCATTCCTATAAGCTCAAATCAAAATATATTTTACCGCAGTGTGCAAACTGAATAGTTACTACCTTATCCTCCACCACCTCTTGTTGCCTTGAAATCGCTAGTGGGATTTTTGTGTAAAGGTTTTCACAAACTCGCTTTTTCTCTTCTTCAGTTCTCTTTCTGAATTGTGACTTATTAGGAAAGTGAAACTGTTTGCTTGCAGATTTCCTGGAACTGTTGCTATAATAAAATGATAGGCGTTGGCAAAATCTACTGGGGATGTTGTATGGGGAAAAAATCATCCCCATTTCGTTTTCTGTCTTAAAACAGCCTTGATTCCTATTTGCACTTTGAAATACATTGTACACACTAAGGTCATAATTCCATTATGTGAACCAAAATATTACCGCAGGAAAACTGTGGTTAGTCTCTGGATGGTTCGAAATGTTACAGCAACACCTTAGCTAATCAGATAGTGTTTAATCTTCAACTTTCCTTAAACTTTCCTTCTGTGGTAATAGTTTAGTGGTATAAAAGTCTAAGCACTATTTTCACTTCTGACGTAAGGTCATTAACTTGAAATGGTGACACACTTTCCTCTCTCCATAGATGCTGTCTGACCTGCTTCGTGTTCCCAGCCACTTCTGTTTTAATTCCATGTAATTTAGAGGTGAATAGCATGCAGGGAAGTAGATGTCATTGCCATCTTCAGCATAAATACAGACACTTAGTGCTGGTATTGTGTTTTGTGGGAGATCATTCTAGCAACACTGTGGTGGAAATTTCTGTAGGGTTTCATAGAGGTATATAGAATGATACAACATGGAAACAAGTCACTGTTTACACTACATGAGCCACTAACCTTTCCATTCCCTTCTCTTATACTCCTCTATTTTCGCTCCCTCCCTCACTTTGTTCAATATACATGCCTCCTTGACCTCTTTCGGTCAATTTTCTCCACTCAACCTACCCCCTTTTGGCTCCCATCCTCAGTGCAGGTGCCCCAATCAGCAGTGCCTTGAGACGTCCTCCTGACGTTATATAAATGTAAATTGAATTATACTTGGTTCCATCTATTTACGATCATCTTTATTACAATAGGTAATCAACTTTCTAAATGTGGGAAATTGTTGGGGATTTTTTTTTGGCTGAGTTACATCACAGCTGGACAATGCTTCTGCTAATCATTCTGCTATCAAAAAAAATTGTTGTGGAAGCTGCCTATTTTATTCCACAGATTCTGCCATTGTCACTTTCATTTTTCGAACAATGAACATAACAATCAACAGGAAATGCAAACAGCACAGATGTGATGAGCCCATTCATCAAAATAAGTTGATCCGAGAAGTTGGGAGGGGTTGGTTGTACACAGTTCAGTCACATTAAGCCATATTGTGGAGTCCTGCAGCTCAGTGGTTAGAGCACTCACTTTGCAAGCGAGAAACCTGGGTTGAATTCCGGACAGGGCGAAACCTTGGGCAAGTTTCCTTACTCCACACGCCTAATAATAATCCCTCCTAAAACAAAACAATAATAAATTGGTCATCTTCAATCCACGACTGTTTGTGGGACACTGCTGTGCACAATTGGCTGCCGCGTTTCGTCCACAAATATACAGTCAATTCACTTTACAGCATATTCGTGAAGGCTTTGAGACGTCTAGAAGATGTGCAAAGCACTATATCAAATGCAAGGATTATTATTATTATAAACACCTGTTGACATCCACATTTCTTATACATCACCATGCTTAAGAGTATCCAAACAACCAAACTGAGTTCCATGCTTTCTACCTATACATGTAAAATTCAGAGATATTTATTGAAATGGAATGTGCTCTCTCTTTCCCTGGAGGGATGCATCCTGCTTACTAAATTCCAGAAAGTAGTAGATGCAGTAAGTTGGCAGAAGCCAAGGCTTTGAGGGACCAGAGTGTGTGTTGGGGTACTGCTGGAGTCTAACCAACAACAACTTGGATTTATATAGCACCCTCTATGCCGGACAGCGTCTCAGAGCGCTTCACATTAACGCATCCTGGGGCCGAGGGTGGGGGAGGAAGGTGACCAAAAGCGCGGTCATAAAGAAAGATCTTCAGTTGAGACCTGAAAGTAGGAAAAGAGGGGGTGAAGCGAAGGGAGTGAGGAAGGGAGTTCCAGAGACTCGGGGCATAGTGGCTGAAGGCACTGCCGCCGAGGGTGGAGTGGAGGATTCGGAAGACAAGGAGGAGGCCAGTCCCAGTGGAACGAAGACAACGGGCACTGTTGTGAGGAAAGAGGAGGTCAGAGAGGTCGGGGGGTGCAGAGGAGTGGAGGTATTTGAAAACAAGGGTGAGGATCTTGAAGTTGATCCTCTCTGGGATAGGCAGCCAGTGAAGTCTGGCCAGGACTGGGGTGATCAGGGAACCAGTTAAAACCAATAGCTTGCCATGGAAAGCACTGTTCACCAAGCTTTCCCACTGCTTGAGCAGCTGGGACCACGCTATCTGTTAGGCTTTGCTTGCATGGTTAACAGGAGCAAAAACAGAAAGGCAGATAAAGCAGTGAGTTTAAATATTCTCCTGTGCACATGTAAAAATATTAAAAATATCAGAGGCTACTTAATGTGGGTTTCTTTCGAGAGCTCCATCTGAAAGAATAAATAACATCAAGAATAAATATTAATAGCTGTACTATTGTTCCCTGTAATTTGAGGTTTGAATATTGCTGAAGGAGGTACTAAACTGATAAAACAGCATCGAGGCGTATATGGACATTCTAAGCCTATGAGGAATGTACTACAAGAAACTTCCTGAGTGAGGCAGCAGACGTTAAGAATGTGTAAACTGGACGGGAAATGCATTCTCTGCAAACTGTGCAGTCTGTAAAAGCTGCGTAGCTGCAGAATGGATAGCACAGCACAGCCTAAGAAGGAAGTTAGGTGTGAACCTGTGGCAAGGGAGAGCTCGAACTGGTCATTGAAAAAGAAGTGGATCACTGAAAATCTGCACCAGATGAATCCATTGTAGAGTAGTTAATGCGAAGGGATAATATTTAATTAAATAAGACCCTGTGAATCTGAGACTATTGTAGTTGAGAATCAGTGTGGAGTCATGTTTCTCACAGAACTCTGTACAAGGATAGCTAAAGGCAGAACAGCTTTAAACTACCGTCACTTTGCCCCTACAAGAACAAAAATAAATATCAGCATTATGTTGACCTATAATAATAGTTGCTCGTTCATGGTGACATTGCTTGCACAATGCAGCATTTATATTGCAACTATCTGCAATATCCCAATCTGCTGGTGCAACACCAGAATCAGATTTTATGTTGAAAACCACCTCTTGAATAAATGCTGATGTTGCTGGGAACATGCAGCAGGTCAGGCAGCATCCATGGAGAGAGGAGAGAGGACCACCTCTTGAGTGGTATCCATGCTTCTAGACCAGGGATGGGCAATTATTTTGGCTGGCGGGCCACTTCACGAGTTTTGGTAAGCTTCAAGGGCCACTAAGCTTCGCGGGCCACACACTTAATATAGATGCAAGTGCTTAATGATAGCTCAAAATCAAGTTTACACATTCATAAAATAAAATCTATATAATTAACATTCATTAAAACTAGGTTAAATAAAAACAACTCATTGAGCAGACATTTATTCAATATTTATTCATTTACTCACATATTGATGAGAATGTGAGAAGCTCACTCAATGGGAAGAACGAAAGCGCTGATGTGCATTAACCAGACAATTGAAGTCAGGCGTCATCTCAGTTGTTGCAATGCAGAGTACTGCTGCAAGGTGGTCATCAGTCATTGCAGATCTATGTTTTAATTTATTGAATTTCATCACAGAAGATGTCTCCTCACATATGTATGTTGATCCAAACAGCACAAGCATCCTCCGGGCATGAGCCTTTATTTTTTGAAAGATATATTCATTAAGATAGGAGTAAAAACTGGGAAGCGGCACTGATTTGAATTGCTACGCAAGCAATGGATCACATTATAGGACAATAAGCTTGAGTTGGAGGTCAAATGGGATTTTGTCAACATCAAATGAGCAAGGTGAATAGACCAAAGACAGGTCATTTTTGATCAAATTGAAATTCTGGAATTGGTAAGAAAATTCGGTATATAAATCAAGTAGTGACAAAATATACTTTTTATGGCTTTGATCGTAAACAGTAATCTGCTGCAAAGTTGGAAAGTGGGCAATCTGCCTGTTTCCTATCTGATGCGATAAAATAAATCATTTTGTCATAAATGACTTGATACTGCCATACAAATCGTGCACAAAGACCCCCTTCCGTTGCAGTTTTGAATTCAGTTCATTCATGTGGCCCATGATATCAACGGCAAATGCGAAATCAGAGAGCCAATTCGCATCACTCAGCTGTGGGAAATCTGAATCTTTTTGTTTCATGTCCAAAAATCAATTAATCTCTGTTCTCAGTTCCCACACTCTTTTCAAGACCTTTCCTAAACTAAGCCATTTTACATTCGTGTGATACAGAACGTCCGTGTGCTCGGATTCCAATTCCTCAAGCAGAGTTACAAATAGCCTATGGTTTAATCCTCTTGCTCGAATGTAGTTGACCACTTTTGTAACTGTGTCCACGACATTGCATAGTTTTAGAACATTCTTACAGAGGACCTCTTGGTGGATAATGCAGTGTAGAAAAACAATATTCTGTTCTGGATTTGTTTCTTTGACTTGATCTTGAATTCTTTTCAGTAACCCAACATTTTTGCCCGTCAGATTTGGGCTTCATTCAGTGGTCACATTCACCAATTTTTTCCACTCCACTCCTAATTTTAAGATACACTTATTTACTGCCTCCAAAAAGTCTTCTCCAGTTGTCGTATCTTTCATTGGCTGCATTAATGCCAATTCTTCTGTGAGCTCAAAATGTTTGGTGATACTTCTATTAAAAATTATCAACTGGGCTGTGTCTTTGACATCACAACTCTCATCGAGTGCCAGTGAAAAACATGCAAAATTGCCTGCTTTATTTTGTAACTGCAGATACAGGTTCTCAGAGATATCCTCAACATGTCTCACAATAGTGTCCTATTGTCCTCGAACTGTTTTTTCTTGTCTGGGCATAAAATCGAGGCAGAGTCAACCATACATTCCTTTATAAATTGTCCTAGTGTCCT